CACATTGATTATTTTTTGAGCTTTGAGCCTTATATATAATAACACAAGATTTTTTGATCAATAAGCCTCTCTCTCGTCTATGTATAATCACTCCTTGCCCCATGCCTAGTTGGCCATTAGTGACATAGAAGGGAAATGACACACACATGTCCCCTACCAGTCCTTAGCCACTCAAGTTCCCTGCTCACGGCTCTACCTAAGTGTGCTTCTAACCTACTTGCAAGCCCAACTAAAAACATGATTTTTTTATTTTATTTTTTTACCTTTATTTATATTTAAAATATGATTATAAAAATTATATAAATTTATATAAAATCACATAATTAGCTCAAAATTCACATTAACCAACTAAAAACCACTTTTTAGAATTATTTATCATAAGTTAAGACTTAAATATATTATTAATTAATTATTAACTCATGATAATGAAGACTTATCGATTAACAAGGATAGAATCCAAAATACATGCTCAAATTTAAAGCTATAGTGATCAATAATCATTAGGCATTCAAGAAACTTAACTCTCTATTTCAAAGAAAGAAAAATTTTCAATCTTGTAGAAAATTATAAAATCTAAAATATCTCTTTCTTAAAACATTTACTAATATTGACTGTAGACTTTTTAGCTCTATATGAGCATGTTGCTTTTGAGAATCTAGCATGATAAAGCTATTAATTGGATAAACAACTTACTATTACTTTTAGTTAATACATGAGAAATATTTAATCATAGCTCTATATTGAATCAATATTATTAAAGAACTAAAAATAATAATGATGAATACATAAAAAGGAATTCAAGGAATGAATAATAATCCCACTCTATTTAATTCTAAAATTTGAAGAATTTTACTGAATATGATTATTATTCTGCATATTTTTGTGAGAATTATAGATATTAATAGAAACCACCACATTATTTTTTTAATACTAATGAATATCTTATAAAGAAATATTTTAAATATTTGTATCAATAAAGCTATGATTCTTAAATATCAAAATTGAGATTGAATGTATCTAGTTGATGATCATAGTTTATTTGAGGTAATTCAAATAAGGTTTGATTATCAAATAATTACTTTCCTTCTAGATGTGTTTTCAGTTCCATTTTTGTGATAAAACATATTTTATTAGATTTGATCGAATCAGTAACATTTAGATACATATGTTGGTGCTTAAAACTAATATTTATTTTCCCAAGAGGATGTGCAACCCTTAGAGGATATGTCATATTGATTTCAAGTAATTCAAATTTATATCTATTTTCGAATTTTAATTTTGAGAGATGGTAGAAAATAAGAGAACTTTTTTATATCATTTATCTATAAATTCAGTACATCTACAGTGGATAAAGTGTTATGAATATCACCTCTAGGCTCTCTATACCCTTGAGAGCCTAGTCAATATTTGTATAGAATATTATTTTAATGTTTTAGAGGAATTATCATTGGTCAAACAATACAGAACACTGAATTGATGAACCATTTTTAGGCAATTAATAGTCTTCCTCGACTAAATGAAAGTGACAATCTTCCATCAATAGCCACTATCCATAAAAGAAGAGGATAACAATTATATGGAAAATTTGTGATTAAATTTTGTAATCAATCAATGAGAGTTGAACCCATTAATCATATATTGCCCACCTAGAGTCATGAATCTGTTAGAGAATTTTAAGGTGAAATCCTATTGGAGTAAAATGTGATAGTCATGAGATGTAATTGGGAATAATCGAAAAAATGAGACCCAAGAAAAAAGTTTTTTTCTTGAAGAGTAGACATAGGTAGAAGCCAACTACTTCAAAAACTCTTAAGTTTCATACCCCTAAGGTATGAAATTTTTGTAGGACTTGAGACTTGAAGCAGAACATCAAAAACCTTTAAAATATTTTATTAGAGTCAAAATTAGAAAATAATCAAACCTTTAAATGCAGCCCATAATTCTACAAGTAATAACTTAACCCCACACATAAGTAAGAAATTTTTTCAAGTGTAAATCACATGGTCAACACTTTGTGGCATAACATGAAAGTGAGTTGTCTCTAAACCACTATTATTTAATAAATCAAAAGATGTATTTTCGAAGAATAAGATGGACATATTCATCAACAAATTAGATTATCAATTGTGAGAAATTACTGTGAATAGAAAATTTGAAGTAAACAAGGATGGAGATGTAAAACAACATAGGAAGATCTTTTGCCTAAATTTTAGAACTAGAAATGTTTTGATTAGGAAGTCAAATGCCAACGAACTTAATAGAGCAAAGACTTTTGAACTAGGAAAGGGAATATGAGATAGAATATAGGTGATTCATAAAGGAAACACACAAATCATGGAGTTTATGATTTCTCTCCTAATTTATAAATACGATGTGTATTATGAATGAGAATGAAATAATTTCTAAACTATTTCATGGGTTTATGAATATTCTAAATGGTCTAAAAAATCTAGAGAGAACTTATCACTTAGCTAATTTGACTTGGAAGATCTTGATGTCTAATCAATTTTCATTATTATGAGTTAATAATTTATTAATAATACATTTTAAGCCTTAATTCATAATAGATAGGCTTATATTTATATTAAATTGAGAAAATTAGTTTTTAGTTGATTAATGTGATTTTTTATTAATTATGTGAATTTATATGATTTTTATAAAGATACCTTTGAGATAAAATGATAATAAATATAAAAAATAGAAAAGAGGGACCCGTTGGCCAGTTGGGCCTACTAGTAGGTCAGAGACATAGTCAAGGAGGCACAAGCTAAGGGACTTGAGTGGCAAAAAACCCACACATAGCACATGTGTGTCACTCCCCTTCCACATCATAGGGGCCAACTGGTCATGGGGTAAAGAGTGTTCATACACAATTGTGTATCTAGTGGCAAACCACTGGGTGACAATTGTCAAAGATGATTCAACGACCTACTTTATTAATTTCTAGACTTCACATGAAGATCTAAAAATTGTCTAAATAGTCCATGTCCAAAAAGAGTTTCTAAGTCTATGGACATTGTTTGATAATCCTCATGAACACAAAATTCTAATGATCACTATCGTAAAGCCAAAACTCTATCTATCATGTTTTAAACTTGTTTTTGTCTTCATTTAGTGGTAATTTATGTGATTTCAAGTTTTGAAACTATTCTTGATTCAATTACGATTCTTTTGACTTTTACATGTCTTAATTTAACCAATCAAAACTTTTGTAATCGCTTACATAAGAGTCAACAGGTGGAATTCTTTCTCTGCCTGATTTGCATTTGTTGGGGCACTAACATCATCCTGATTTTTACATCCTTATTTTCTAAAAAAAATTAAATATATTTTATATTAATTATTTAGTCTAAAAATCATAAAAGAGTATATTTCTTTATAAATTTTTTGAAATATTACTAGATATTATCTTACATCTCTATGATCAACCTAGAAATTCCTTATTATTTTCGAAACATTTTATGAAATTATAATTAATTTATTTTAAAAAACTATTTTTTAAAATTTTAATATTAGTGTTTTTAGTTTAATAAATTTTAAATTTGTGTGATTTATTATACAACGACTAAGTCATGTCACTAGATAAGGGTATGAGTGTATTTATTTAACTCCCTCTCATGTAGGTGGGCAATTAACAAAGATTCGAATCTCATTATAGTCAAAATTCATATTTTATCTCATTAAATTGAGATTTTCTTGTAAAATGTCAATCAATGATTAAGTCACCAAAATTAATGTTTTATCTCATTAAATTGAGATTTTCTTGTAAAATGTCAATCAATGATTAAGTCACCAAAATTATTAAATCATCAATAAAAATATCGTCAATATGATTCATGGAGCATCATTACCAACTAAAAAATGATTTTGTATAAAAAGATCAAAAATTTATTGAAGAAATTATCTTTGATTAATTAATGAATGAGCCGTTGAGATGAAGCTCTATTAGCTGAAGCCCACAGAATGGAGGGAAGACTTTACTTGCTCAAGGTCAATGTCATAAATCATTGTCTGATCACAAAAGGAGAAGAAAATTCAAGTTAGATGTGGCATTCTCGATTTAGCCACTGAAATTTTCACTCACTCAAGGAAATGTCATGCAAGCATTTAGCAAAGGGACTTCCACTGATCAAGGTACTTAATCACATGTGTCAGACCTATCTTGTAGGCAAGCAACACCACACTCCATTCTCGAAAGCTTCTCAACTCCGAGCTTCAGAGCCTGCTGACATTTGTGGCCTGATTACCCCAACCACACTAGGAGGGAGTAAGTATTTCCTCCTTATAGTTGATAGTTTTTTGCGACTAATGCAGGTAGCTATGCTCAAACATAAATCTGAAGCCTTTTGCAAATTCAAGAAGTTTAAGGCTTTGGTTGAGGGAGAGAAGAATACAAAAATCAAGTGTCTTTGATCAAACAGAAAAGGGGAGTTTTCTTCTGATAAATTCATTGAGTTTTGTGTTTCACAAGGAATTAAAAGGAAGTTGACCGCTCCTTACTCTCATCAGCAGAATGGTAAAGTAGAAAGGAAGAATTGAAGAATCATGTCCATGATTAGGAGCATGCTGAAAGAGAAGGAAATGCCTCGTGAATTGTAGAAAGAGGCTGTCAATATCTCTATATCTCTTAAATTAGTCTTACACTAAAAGTTTCCAGGGGTTGACGCCATATGAGCTGTGGATTGAGAGAAAGTCAATAATTGATCATCTTTGAGTTTTTGGCTCCATTGTGCATGTGAAATGTACTAAAAGACCACAGAAAAAAGTTTTATGACTGCAGTCAACCAATGATATTCATTGGGTACGAAGTGGACACAAAGGAGTACATGGGAGAAGAAATGAAAGGAAGCATGGGTACGAAGTGGCACGAAAGGAAGCATGGAGGAATGCTATGAAAGAAGAAATGAAAGTCATTGGCAGAAGTTAAACATGGGAGCTAGTGACTCCTCCAACTAATTGCAATCTCATAGGACTGCAATAGATTTTTAGGGTCAAGAGAAATGTCAAAAGATACATTGTGAAGCATAAGGCGAAACTGGTTGTGAAGGGGTATTATCAAAGGCAAGGAATCGACTATGATGAGGTATTTGCTCCTGCGGTCCGATTTGAATTTATTCGTGCTCTTAATACCATTGCAGCTCCATAAGGAATGGTTGTTGCATCATTTCGACGTAAAGTCTGCCTTTCTGAATGGAGAGGTAGAGGAGGAGTTATATGTCAAGCAATCGAAAGGTTTTGTTGTAAAGGACAGAGAGAACTTTATTTTGAAGCTGAGAAAGCCCTTTATGGACTTAAGCAAGCTTCACAAATACCTAGTCTCACTCGGATTCTCAAGAAGTAAAAATGAGCAAGCAGTTTATTTGAAGTGGTCTGATAAATCACACTTGATTATTAGAGTCTATGTGGATGATCTACTAGTCATAGGTGAAAAAGACAGTGAAATTAACGAGTTCAAAGATTAAATGATGCAATTTTTGAGATGAGTGATCTCAGACAACTTTGCTCTTATTTGGACATTGAAATGGCGCAAGGAGGAGCTAGAATCACCCTGTCACAAAGAGCCTATGCACTGAATATACTGGATCTTGCAAGGATGAGGGAGTGCAATCTAGTTCACGGTCCTCTTGAAGCAAGAGTCAAACTCAGTCAACAAAATTCAGGATCTTCAATTGACTCTACTTACTTCTGAAGTCTCATCGGAAGCTTAAGGTACTTGACTCACTTGCCCTGATCTGACTTTCTCCGTGGGATTACTGAGCAGGTTTATGGAGCATCCGACTTCAGAACACCTCCCAGCGATCAAGCACATTCTAAGGTACGTAAAAGGTACAATTGATTATGGATTAGTCAATGAGAAAGGTCAGACCAAAGTAAATTTAGTCGACTATAGTGATAGCGACTTTGCTGGAGATGTGGATGACCGAGAGAGTACCTCAAGGCAAGCTTTCTTCCTCGGTGAAATGTTGATCTGTTGGGCCTCTCAGAAGTAGAAGACAGTGGCTTTATCCTCGTGTGAGGCGGAGTATATTGCTGCCACTGCTGCCGCATGTCAGGGTGTGTGGCTAAATCGTCCATCAGCGAATTAAGAGGAGAAGAAGAGAGGACAATAAAATTGCTTGTGGATAACAAATCTGCCATCATCCTAAGCAAGAATCTAGTGCATCATAATCGTACGAAGCACCTTGATACAAGATATCACTTTATTCGTCAGTGTGTGGAGGAGAAGAAGATCACGTTGGATTATGTGAAGACGGAGGACCAGCTGGCCGATATCCTCACAAAATCACTCGGAAGGCAGAAATTCATGGAGATGAGATGGCAGATGGGTGTTCGGAACATTCGCACGGAGGAGCAGGAGCAAGGAGGAGATTGAAGGCTTAGCTCCAGCTCCGCCGTGGCTCGTAGTGGTTCACTGTCTCCGGCGATCTCACCCGCGAAGCCAATTTGGGCGTATTTCTATTTTTTGAGTTCGTTAAGTTTCTTTTTAGGTTTAATCACAGCCGCACCTTGCTTGAGTTCGTTAGATTTTACTGGCAATACGATTCTGTGCATTCTTGATCTTGCTTCTTCTTGTTCCTTTGGAAATTTTTTAAGGGGTTTCCGGTTTTCCAAAGCCAGCAATTATTGCATCAGCAAAGCAGAGAAAACTACAGTCGGAAAGAGAGCAGGCATGGCCCTTCTTGATGGGGTACAATCTAGATCGTTCGCGCGGCTCACTTGGGCGCGAACTTGCTCTTGACAAACTGCACTTCCTGGATGCCCACCTGGAAGGCGGTGGCGAGGACGTTGTCCGGCACCGGCGGGGTGGCGCCGAAGAGGGTGTTGGCGATGGTCTGCGTCCCGGGGAGCTGGCTGTTGAAGGCGGCGACGACGGCGGCGGGGACGTTGCCGTTGTTCCTCTGGAAGTGAACGAGACCCCGGGGGAAGACGAAGACCTCCCCCGGCTTGATGGTCTTCGCCACCAGCACGTTGGCGGTGGTGATGAATCCCACGTCCAGCTCGCCGTAGAGGACGAAGACGATCTCAGTGGCGCGGGGATGCGTGTGCGGGGGGTTTTGACCGCCGGGGGCGTAGTCGATGCGGCTGATGGAGACGCCGAGCGTGTTCAGGCCGGGGAAACGGAGGACGTTGGCGGCGGTGACGATGGATCCCTGGGCGTTGCTGGTGTTGCCGGGTTTGACTAGGAGGTTGGAGAAGAAGTCGGTGGCGTTGAACTGGGCCTTGCAGGGGAACCCGTTCACCTTCACCGCTGCCAAATCCCAGGAAGATATTCAAACACATTAGGCAACCGCAGGGAGGGCGGATAGGAAGAAGGAGAGGAGAAGAAGAAGCATACTCGAGTTGAGATCCGCCACGCAGACATCTTGGAGCAAGTCGGGGTCGCTGGCGGACGTTGAGCCGACCAACGCCAGGAAGGCGAACAGAGCTGCAGCGAGAGAAGAAGCCCTCATGGCCGCGCACGCTGGCGAGAGAGAAAGACAGAGAGGGAGAGAGAGAGAGAGAGAGAGAGGATGAGAGGCGGCGAGTTGAGGGAGAAGGAAGAAGCCGATGGCGGCCTTTATAATGAAGTTGCTGGACTGGGTGGGCCGGTGCCTTGGGGAAGGTAGACGATTATTGATGGTGAAAGGCATGGAACAGCCCCTCCCCCACATGGAGTTCAGACAGCTGTTCTTCCCTGTCGGTCAACGAATGAACGCAGACGGTCCAGCGTCATCTTGGATGGAGTTTCGAAGATTCCCGGGAGCCGGTGGAAAAATATTCTGCCTTACCGTCCTGACAGGTCGGACGTGTCAAACCTTCAGTGCCGCTTCTTTCAAAAACTACTTAGGCACGAACGTGTTGGATGGGTGGTCAACGCTGCACCGTGATGGATGATCGATGATCGATTCCCTCAGATCCTGATCGTCAAAGTGTATTTCGGGTAAGTACAACGTAGAAGCTTGATGACCGGTTAGGACTTGAATAAGCGTAATTATCTGAGTTTATCCGAGAATATCCGTCCATTCAAGTCTGACACACTAGAACAAAGTTGATAAACTTGGTGGGATAAAAGCCGCCGATTAGTGACACCCCGAAGCGGGGTGAAGCGCACCAAGTTGCTACACTTATTCAACCAACCAAAGGGTCTGATTGTGGGGTCCCAGCCCCGTAAGTAGTAGTTCAATTGACTAAATAAAACCCTTGGTTTATCTAGGCTGAGATATGATCAAGAATAAATCCATTATCAAACCATAGTGTCTGGTAAATTAGAGTAGGATCGAAGATAACTGGTTATCAGAGGTGAACATCCTGAGAACATGACTGACGATGATAATGCTTATTATTATTATTATTATTATTATTAGAATAAGACGAAAATGATGTGGAGTAGGCGTTCAAGTTACCTTTTCCAAGATATGGTTTTGTTGGGGATGTCGTGACTTATGCAGCTACTGCGACAAAAGAAACCCGAATTTTCTTTTGTAGGCTTTGACCATTTACTTGCTCTCCTGGTCGCCCGCCGCGTTAGATGCGAAGAAGAGATGAGAGACGTTACCTCGAAAGAACAGCATGAGGAAGGTCGCCCATGTATTTGACCTCGTCATCATCATCCCACGTGCCTCAGTCGCAGGCCACGTCGTCGGACGCCGTTGATCTAGACGGCAAGTTCAACGTCGTTTAGACTAGTCAACTCTCTTGTTGAGGTGGGGTATTTGACCCCATCGACCTCGGTCGCGCTGGGCCCGCACCAGATTCATAGCCAATTTCTCCCCAGTAATAGACGTATGTTGAAATAGGCCAAACATCAGTTATTTCTCTCCAGTAATGTAGGATCAGATCATGAAAGAGAGAGCGCTTACCAGTCTGAGCCATCAGTTATTGACCAAGGATCCCTCTTCGCACTACAAACGTTACATTCTTCCTAATCGATCAGAAAAGCAGCAAAATTAAGGACACCTCACCCATCAACTTGTGACCAACAGCACGCTCTAAACCCCTAACACAAAGAACGATTCACTGCCCCCCCCCCGCCCCCTCTCTCTCTCTGGTTCCCATTTGACCCACATGCATGCAACAACGACAAAGGTAGTAGTGCGGTGCAAGGAGATGGGGATTTTTCTCGGACAGAGAGACACCGAGAGAGGGAGAGAGAGAAACATGTTGACTTTGGATAGTGCCTTGAGTCATGATTTATCTGCAGTTACCTTGTTCATTCGTTTATTTCAAGAACAAGGGTCAACTCACCATGTCTGAAATAGTCACTAGAAGACATACGGAACTTTCCAAGTCAGTCGAGTCTTCGTCGGTCGTGGTGTAATGACAACTAGCTGGAACCAGGAGTCCCATTGGGCTGGACCCAACCTCTTCCTGTATCCACGAAATGATATGGGCTTCGTCGGTCGTCCCCTCCCACCGCCCCAACCAGGAGTCGAGTCTTCGTCGGTCGTGGTCCATAGTTTTTTTGACTATGGAGCATCGGATTTATTTATGTAATATTTCACGGAAAACTAGAAAAATGGAATCGATTATGTTTGCAGAAGTTACTATTTTCATTTTGTTACGGGATAATCTTTGATAAAAACGCCGCCTTTTCAACCGCTGCCGGCAGTCTTGCGGGGGCGGAGGGCGACGATGCCGACGCCGGCGGCGAAGAGGTGCTTCCGGAAGAAGCGGTCCCTCGAGGAGGCGGAGGCCGAGCCTGACGCCGGCGCCGAATCCGGTGACGAGGAGGAACGCAGGTCCGTTCCTCTTCTTCTATTTCTTCTTCTTCTTCCTCGCCGGCGATATGGGGAGGGGAAGGAAGCCCTTTCTTTCTCATCACCCTTAGGGTTTTCATGGCCTCTCGTTTTCTCTTCTCAGGATGGTGCTGGAGGAGGTGAAGCTGTTGCAGAAGCAGAGGGAGAGGCGATCGGGCATCCCGGCGCTGCCCACCGCGGCGGCGCCGCCCGGCGACGCCGGCGGCGGCGGCGTGGTGGATGAGCAGAAAGGGGGCCTCAAGAAGATGGGGGCCGGGACGGGGCGGGCGGTGGCGGTGGGAGGGGACGGCGAGGACGATCTGGTCTTGCAGGACACCTTCGCCCAGGAGACCGCCGTCACCGTGGAGGACCCCAACATGTGATGCCCTAATTCCTCGTCTTCCTCCCCAAATCCGTCCGAAATTGCGCCGTCGATTCGAAGAAGAATCCTCGAACTTTCCTCTGCCATGGTGGTATTGACGGAATGATCGTGATGACACAGGGTCCAGTATGTGGAGCAAGAGTTGGCAAAGCGGAGGGGGAAGAACGTCAGTGGCGACGGGGGTGATCAGGCCGAGAGCGAACTGAAGCGCCTGGAGGACGAGTTGTACGCAGTGCCCGAGCATCTCAAGGTGGGATCTCTGCCATGGTGATCAGAAGAACAAGGAAATTGTCCCCGATGGCGCAGTGGCTCTGATTCTTCACTACTTTTGCTGCAAATCATCCTCTTCCAGGTGAAGAGGAGGAACCCGGAGGAGAGCTCTACCCAGTGGACGACCGGGATTGCAGAAGTTCAGCTTCCGATTGAGTCAGCCCTTCTCTGCGTACCGACGCCGTTACAATTTATAGCCGGACAGATTCAAGATCCAGGAGGTGGCTGAATCGAATCCTCAGTTGACGTCCTTCTTCTTCTTCGTCGTCCTCTTCGCCAGGTACAAGCTCAGGAACATCGAAGAGACAGAGGCTGCCAAGAAGCTCCTGCAGGAGAGGAGGCTGGCGAGCAAGGCCAAGTCGGACATGAACAACATCCCCTCGAGCTACAGCGCAGATTACTTCCACCGCGGCCGTGACTACGCCGAGAAGCTCCGCAGAGGTGGGTGGGTGTTCCGGCCATGGAGCTCGGAGCAAGTTTACTCTGTGGAGATGATGATGGCTTCATGTCTAAGGATCCCCCCTTCTGACGGCGATCTTCTTCTTCATGATGGGAGCAGAGCACCCGGAGCTGTACAAGGACGAGGCCTTCCAGGATGGTGCGGCGGGCGCCAGAGGCAGCGGGGGCGGCGAGGCGGCAGGGCGGCGGCAGGCGGCGACGGACGTGATCATGCTCGAGCGCTTCAGGAAGCGGGAGCGGCAGCGTGCGATGCGCAGATGACCTGGATAAGCTGCGTCTGATTCACAGAAACCCGCCTTAGAGAGAGAGAGAGAGAGAGAGAGAGAGAGAGAGCTCAGTCTTCTTCGGTTTGACTTGGGTCATCTGCATCTTTGACACCATCATATCTATCTTACAGGGTAAGATTTTTTCTTTTTCTGTCGAGCTAATAACAATGCCAGTGATCAAACTTGCGGAGTAAGAACTCACACTCTATCTCTCTCTGCCCGGGATACCTGCTGCTCCTTCGTTGGCCGCTCAGACCTACCATCTTCCTCAGTACTCCTCTCTGCTCTCTCTCTGCTCACGAGGGAGACAGAGAGAGGGACCATGTATTTTTAAAATTTGGGTCTACTTTAAATCGGCTCTGTCGGTGGTCCGGGGGGGACGTGTCCTCGCGGAGTGTCTTGCAAGCTGTCTGAGAATTGTTCCCAGAGTATAGGCTCCAATTCATTGCTTCGGAAGGTGCGGACATGCCTCCACGTGGCACCACTTATCCTCGCCTCCCCTCTGACTGCAATAAATTAATGCCCACCCACCTTGTACCTATTTCACAAACCCCCTGCTTGTCCCCCTTCTCTCTCTCTCTCTCTCTCGCTAACTAGCTCGGCGACATGGGTCCTCCGGTAGTCGTCACCGCCCTCATCGCCGCCCTCGCGCTGGTCGCTGGTGTCTCCGCCAACGACCCCGACATGCTCCAGGACGTCTGCGTGGCGGATCTCAACTCAAGTAAGCGCTCCTCTCCCTCCTCTTCCTCTTCCTCTTCCGCTTCCCCCTCCCTACTCCGGCTTCTTCTTCCTTGTCCTCCTCGTCCTCCGGGGAAAATCCTACCCCGATTCGGAGGCTCCGTCGGGATCTAGGTGGCCGTGGCTGACCGGATCTGGCCGATTTGGCAGCGGTAAGGGTGAACGGCTTCCCCTGCAAGAGCCAGATCAACGCCAACGACTTCTTCTCCGACCTCCTGGTGAAGCCCGGCAGCACCAACAACTCCCAGGGATCCCTCGTCACCGCCGCCAACGTCCTCCGTTTCCCCGGCCTGAACACGCTCGGCGTCTCCATCAGCCGCATCGACTACGCCCCCGGCGGTCAAAACCCCCCGCACACGCATCCCCGCGCCACCGAGATCGTCTTCGTCCTCTACGGCGAGCTCGACGTGGGATTCATCACCACCGCCAACGTGCTGGTGGCGAAGACCATCAAGCCGGGGGAGGTATTCGTCTTCCCCCGGGGCCTCGTCCACTTCCAGAAGAACAACGGCGACGTCCCCGCCGCCGTTGTCGCCGCCTTCAACAGCCAGCTCCCCGGGACCCAGACCATCGCCACCTCCCTCTTCGCCGCCTCCCCCCCGGTCCCCGACAACGTCCTCTCCAAGGCCTTCCAGGTGGGCACCAAGGAGGTCCAGAAGATCAAGTCTAGGCTCGCCCCGCCCAAGAAGTGAATCTAAGTCAACGCCCCCCTCCCGGTTCGCCTTTGATGATGAATACTTGCCGTGGGCATTAGTGCAACGTTGCTTTGCTTCCTGCCAAATAATCCCCTCCCCCGCCGGGAGCACTGTTCCCCAATTCTCTGCTGGGCTCTGACTTATTCTGACGTTGACCTTTTACCTATATATCTGGAGCGTGGGTGAGAGAAAACCAGATCTGACGGCATACTCCTACCCCGCCCACCACCGGGAGCTGGTGGCGGCGGTGTGGACCGAAGCCATCCCGTGTGGTGCGAGGATGGGTGGGTGGGGGCATCGTTGCCGCCTGTGCCGGATCCATTATTTTCCATTTGCGGTAATCAGTCAGATATGGAAGGACTTTGTCAAGTAAGTGATCGTTCAGGACCCGTCTCGTAAAAATCATCATACAACGCCTGCACCAAAGTGGGACCCCACAAAAGTCCCCGCTTGTTATTACTTGACGCGTTCTCGTTTGACACGCGCAATTTCGACCAATAAAAAAAGGACCCAATGGAACATATCTTAAAGGCATTATTTTATGTTCATAAATATATGATTATTCTTATTTACTAAATTCCTTGGATAATATAAACACACTCTACATATAAATATATATATATGGAAATAAAGTCAAAGATATAAATATATACTGTTGACTTGGGAAAGAGACAAAAACGTTAATGGGCCTTTAGCCATCAAACAGGCCCTTTTTGGGGGGCATTTGGGCCGTCCAAGAGATCCATTTAAAGTCACTAGTCCCATAAGAACCGCCTCGGGGCGGAGAGATCTTCAGGGAGGAGAGAGAGGAAAAGGAAGGTAGAGGAGAGAGAGAGAGGGCGATGGCAGCCGCTGCAATGGTTCTCGACGCAAAGCAGCCGCTTCCCCTGCCGCTCGCGTCGCCGAGATCGGAAGCGGACGGCGGGACAACATCCGCCTCCACTACCGGGGAGGAGGAGGACCTCTATGGCCGCCTCAAAGCGCTGCAGCGCCAGCTGGAGTTCATCGAGATCCAGGAGGAGTACGTCAAGGACGAGCAGAAGAATCTAAAGCGGGAGCTGCTTCGGGCTCAGGAGGAGGTGAAGCGTATACAGAGCGTCCCCCTCGTCATCGGCCAGTTCATGGAGATGGTCGATCAGAACAACGGCATCGTGGGCTCGACCACGGGCTCAAACTATTATGTGAGGATCCTGAGCACGATTAATCGTGAGCTGCTGAAGCCTTCGGCGTCTGTGGCGCTGCACAGGCACTCGAATGCGCTTGTGGACGTACTTCCGCCAGAGGCGGATTCCTCCATCTCTCTGCTCAGCCAGTCGGAGAAACCCGACGTCACGTACAACGTGAGTGAATTGAAGCTATGTTTATTTTCTCTTCTTTATGCCTTTGTTGAAAATCGACCTATGAAACATAAAAATTTGAAGAAATTGGGCTTTTGTCCGCCTTTGATTATGAACTGGTGTCTAGTTTCAATGGCATGTTATAAAACTAGGGTTTTCTCTTGACATATCGGCTTTCTGATGATAAAGTTTTTCGTCGTTTGAGAAGGCTTTACCGCCTCGGACGCCTTCAAATTCTCCTGTTGATTTGCTGAGTTCTTGTTCTTCACGTGGTTTGTTTCGTGTTTAAAAGCAAGGGAACCCCTCTATTTATGGTAAAATCCCTGGGGTCCTTGTGGCTTATACACGCAACTGCCTTCCCCCGATGATCGATGCACGTGGATGCTGATCTCGGAATCCCACTGCGGCTGTCTATTGCTAATGTATATCAGTAGAAACAAATCTGGATGAAACGATGTCCATGTCCAGTCCCTGTTTGATACAAGAGCATGTGTGCTACTTGCAGATCCAAGCAGGTTGTGCTATTCTGTTGTTGAAAGTAGGGATTTGATAGTAATCCTATTGAGTTGAACGCATCTTTGTTGCCTACCTGAATCTTTAAAAATACGAATTCAATGTTATGTAGCATCATGGATGCTTCCAAGAACGGCAAGGATTTAATTATTGGTTCCCAATTTTGAATCTGGCATACGATCTGCCACTGAGATTCTTTGCATTATGATTTGCAATAGTCTTCCCCAGAAATTCTATTTTTCTTCCTGGAGGAAGTTTAGAAATCTGATAGGAAGACTTTGTCCTTCCCAATGATAATCATCTAAAGAACTAAGATATTTAGCATTCCCAACATGGAAGTTGGGACGAAGTTCAGCCATTCTTATATTTGTTCGCACCTGAGCCTCTATTGACGAGTTTCGTAGTTGGAGATATTAGTTTACAACGATTCCTATATTATTTCCATGACAATGTGATGGCCCAGTAAAACCTACTTCTGTCCTGAGAACCAAACTTACCTAGCGAGTAAGAACTTGGGTAAAGTTTTCAGTGATTGCTTATTAGACCTCTACTTTTCTGTTAATACATTTCAGCTCATCTCAGTTGCTGTAAGCCTTAATCATCTAAAGACGTGCTTTCTGAAAGAAACATTTTCTAATGGTCCTATATTTGCGGGTAGTTCTACAAGTCTTGAGAATAGAGGGACAACATATGGCTAGACCGGATACTCCTTAAAGCTTTGGATATTAAACATTTTCATATTCTGTGATATTTGGGTCCTTTGCTGAATTACACTTTTTTTGGGTCCTCTCAGGATATTGGGGGTTGTGACATTCAGAAACAGGAGATTCGAGAAGCGGTTGAGTTGCCTTTGACACATCATGAGCTCTACAAGCAAATTGGTATAGATCCACCAAGAGGAGTTCTTCTCTATGGGCCTCCGGGTACTGGTAAAACCATGCTTGCCAAGGCTGTGGCACATCATACTACTGCTGCCTTTATTCGTGTGGTTGGATCTGAATTTGTTCAGAAGTATTTGGGTGAGGTATGAGCCTTCTTTTTTATATGTTCGTATCTCTTCCTGTTTTATGTGAATTTTCGTTCCGAAAATTTTGGTGGATGGTAACTTTTGAGAGAGAAGAAAAAGATATAACGCGTTTAAGGGTCATCTTGTGTCTTGTTTGGGTTCCTGCATTTTCTTGCATATGTCATGAGATATGACTTCTGTGTTTGTTGCAAATTATATAGCATTCCCCCTCTTCAGTAATTTATAGATTTTGTGGGGTGTTGCTCCTTGAATTATATCTGCTCAGATCCTGGATGTTTAGTATTTTCTTCCTTTGTAGTGTTTCGTGTTGTCCTTGTTTAGTGTAAGGGTTTGATTTATGAACATCATTCATTTAGTGACTGAAATTTTTCCCAGGGCCCGAGGATGGTTCGAGACGTTTTTCGTCTTGCCAAAGAGAATGCTCCTGCTATTATATTTATCGATGAAGTTGATGCCATTGCTACAGCTCGTTTTGATGCCCAAACCGGAGCTGACCGTGAAGTTCAACGTATTCTTATGGAGTTATTGAATCAGGTAAGAATTAAGAAACAAGAACCCAATTCAAGTTGATGCCATACGCTTTATTGAACTTGCACTTATGTTGTAAAGGATGTAAAGTATTACGTAATGAGTTTTAATTTAGCTGATAACTGGTTGTATATTCATGAGGAATCTGGTAAACGATGCCATGAGCTGCAAAAAGTAGTTTCATAATACGTGAATTATTTTGGGTTTCACTTATTAAAGAACTCTGGCATGTTTTTTTTATTTCATTTTGACTTCAGCTAATCGGACCTTTTTTTCAAATGGTAAAGAAATCTGTGATTAGGCCAGATAAAGACAATCTTACGTAGGATTGGCATCTTACCACAAATGTGTTTGGATAATTATCCATCTCAGCAGCCTTTGCCCACTCTGCTAGTGAAAGCATTACCATTTGATCTGTGCCAATGTATTTCCTTCTGTTGAAATCTTCTCTTGTTTCTTTCCAACACAGCCCACAAAATGTTGAGCAATACCGTTGGCACCATTTATTTCAACAGCCTATTTGACGTAGAGGGTTTTAAATCCTCATGACATCATGAACATTGTAATCGTATCCTTGATTTCCATTTTCGTTGATAAATGCTGACCGCACGTGATCAATGATTTTACAGCCCGAAAACAGATAATCTATAGCGTCCCTTGTAACGTAATTATCCCTTTTCAGCAGATGAACCTTTTCTATCTTTATCTACTAGTGATTAAGAAAAGTTGTTTACATCTGATGATTCACTTTTTTTCATGATTACGTGAGATACCTTGAAAATTGAAAAGTATTTATCTACTTGGGATAAGAAAAAGGGGCTTTCGCACATGTTATGAAGTTTTGTCATCCTTTCAGAATATTTTTTTCAGATTACTTCTGTTTTCTCTTAGCTACCTTTGGTCGGGATTTCTGTGTCCATCGTATTTTCAATGGCAATTTCCTTTTCTTTCATGTCTGCTTGATAAAAATTGGAGGACTGACCATGCTGGGTCAGGCTGATGATTACCAAGTAGTTTCTGGATCTTGGAAGGAAGCTATGGCCGAGTCCTTATCTGTGGGACCTCTACAATCGGGCAGAGTCAATTATATGATTGCTTATCTTTCTGAAGTTTATATTTCACTTTGTTATCTTATGTATATAGATTATTTGTAATTACCATGCTACACCTTGCTTTTAGATGGATGGGTTCGACCAGACTGTGAATGTCAAGGTTATCATGGCAACAAATCGTGCTGACACTCTGGATCCTGCTCTTCTACGTCCCGGAAGACTAGACAGGAAAATTGAGTTCCCTCTACCTGATAGGCGTCAAAAAAGGCTTGTTTTTCAGGTAACATTGATATAACTAGCACTGGCTGTTAGATGTATTACTATTTGAAATATCGTGTACTCCAATCTTCGTTGCTTACATGACGTTTGACATTACAATTTAGAAAACGTTTCCTTATATCAGAGGTTAGACTACCGAACCAGAGTCTCTAGGTTTTAATCTTCCATTGGACTGTGATGTCCCATTTCGAGAAGATTTGTTTTTGAGTCTCATTTGATCATGCAATTCTCTGTTGGATGAAAGAGGAATAATCCATTGAAATGAGTTCTTTTATGAACAAGGTTTTGGAACTGTGATTTTGGTGGAGTATCAAAAGTCAGCCTTGAAATGTTGTAGAGCAACATTTGAAATTCGTCTGGATCATTTGAAATTTGATGGTGAGTACCAACTAACAGCCGTTTTTAATGGCCTGAGAGGGATTTTGTTATTCTTCAACGGGTGTTAAGATGTCCGTGACTGCCTTGACCCTTGTAAGTCGGGGTTCATGAAACATCAGTGTTCAAGTCTGTCCACGTCCTGGGATTTCAGGCGGTGTTGAGTCCTTGAGCTCAACACTGGCGGCGCTGTGTTCTTGGATTTTCTCTTTTTTTTTTTTCTCATGCAACAATCCATGGTTGTTCTAGCTGTTTTTCTTTTTCCATTCCGAATTCTCTTATTTGTATATATAATGCTATTTTTGGGTCCCCTTTTATTCACTTAAAAGAAGAGAGTAAATGAATGATACAGCTGCCGTCTATTTATTTAGTTTGTGCTTCTCTCTACCTGCTGCATCTTTCCCAGGTGTGCACTGCGAAGATGAATCTGGGCGATGAGGTCGACCTCGAAGACTACGTCTCTCGACCCGACAAGATCAGCGCTGCCGATGTGAGCTCCCCAGGAATTTTTATTTTAACTAGAAATTTATTGGTTTTCTTCTCTTGGTCTCTCTCGATAATCCGCGTCCCTTGCTTCGGAGTGGACGTTTTTATATTTTCTTTATATTTTATTTTATTATTTTATTATTTTATTTCATTGGAAGATATGATCTGAGTAGTCTCCGTTGGATGACCGATGCAGATTGCAGCCATCTGCCAGGAGGCGGGGATGCACGCCGTCCGGAAGAACCGGTACGTCATCCTCCCCAAGGACTTCGAGAAGGGCTACCGCACCAACGTCAAGAAGCCGGACACCGACTTCGATTTCTACAAGTGATTCGATCCTCTGCAACTCCGAACTGAAGAACTCTCTCTGGCCGTCTCTCTCTCTCTCTCTCTCTCTCTCTCTCTTCCTGACTTTTCTCCTTCCGAACCTTAGACTGGGGCGCCCTTGGTTGCCCTGCTCATCTCACTTTTATGAGGTGGACGGATCTAATGGGTTACGGTTTGCTTGATGGGTCTTGAGTAGTGGATGATGGTGACAAGCTGGCACCTCGTGTGGGCGGGCTTCCTTGGGTTAAAGCAATCTACCTTTAACTCTGTCATCAATACCCACATTGAGAGAGCGAGAGATGGGCAAAGATTAGTCGGAAATATATGCCGCAGATTCTCGCTATTAGGGGCATATCATACCAGCAACAACAGGTAGAATCTGCAGTCCCAGGAGACTTGAGCGGTGTAAAAGTACTAGGAAGTCAACGCATCAGAAGGGACCGGAAGAAAACTGACTAGCTGCCCTGTAGTCGCGATAGCCTCTTTCTTTTCCGGGTCCTCCTCTTCGGACTGCGGGTGGTGCTCTTGCTCGCCGAGCCCGGTGGGAGGGCCAAGAAGTTGAGCGGGGGTTTACCCACAAAAGTCCTGCCCTTCTTGGTGACCCACTTCAACGGCAGATTATTGACCACGCTGCCGATATTCGCAGAGTTGCAGAGCTCCACTAGAATCCGGATCTTGCCCTGAATTTGCCCCGCCCAAGCCATCGCCTGATCTAGCCCCACCGAGTCGTCGGCGGGCTTCCTCCAGAGATCATCCAAGATCTGCCTGAACGACCGACTAGACATCGACGCCAACTGACCCTCCTCCTCGCCCTTGCCGGAGAGCATGTTGGCCTTAATGGCGTGCTTGCAGAGGTTCCCCTGCATGGCCCAGGAGCAGTCGCACAGGGCAAACTCGGACCCAGGATTCCAGACGGTGTGCTCTTGGCGAGGATCCTTTTGGCTGACGACCTTCGCCGAGTTTTGATCCCTGCCGATAATGCCGATGAATTTCACCGCATCGTCTGGAATCTGCAGGGCCCGGTGCCATGAAGTGGAGGAGATGTACTCCTCCTTGACGGTTTCAAACGAGCCGCTTTCGTCGGCGTAGCAATCTAGCCAATAGCCAGAGTGGATCTCCGTCGTCAGCTTGTGGACCAGCCAGTCTACCCGCTGCAGCGAGCCGAGTTGGGAGTCGTCATATAGCTTCGATTTTAGCTTCAAGTGATATGCCTCCACCGCGCCACCTGCTTCTTGACTAGCCAGGGGGAAATCTTTCATTGAGGCGAGCCACATTTCTGGCATTGTAGATTTAGGTACAATCATAAACAGGCACGAGCAAAAAACAGACGGAAAGACAGAAATTTCAAAGTGAAATGCACATATAGTACATATTTATCTATATAAATATATGTATAAATATCGAGAGAGAGAGAGAGAGAGGTTCAGCATCCTACCAAGCTTGGGCACCCAACACTCCTTGAAATACTGCACGAATGCTGTCTGGTCCACAAAATCTTGGATAAACTCCCCCAGAGCACCAATGTAATCTTCTTTGCTCCAGATGCTGTACAAGATCTTGCCAAGCCGTTTAAATATCTCCCTTTGGACTTCGGGATTGCTGCATCTCTTTATGACACTCCTCTGCCATGATCGACGAATACGCCAGAGACAGAAAAGAATGGGGCTGCAGAAAACATCCCTGCTGGCCAGTAGACGAGTTAATATCCGGATACCTCAGATCATTGCAACAGGTAATGGTCAATAAGAAGGAAAGATGAATAATTCAACGTGCCTGATAGGGTCAACCTCCAAGGCTGCATCATCGATTATGAAGCCATTGATCCTCCAACCCGAATCGGTCGCACGCACCCGATCAGCAAGCACTTTCATCCATTTGGACACGTCTTGTTTGCCAATTGTCCGCGTGATGACCCATGCAACTGGGAGAGCATGCTGCCTTGAATCGAATGCAAGCAGTGTGTAAAGTGGATACTGCAGCATAAGGAATATAACAAATCATTGTTTCATATATTAACCAGCCGTAAGATAAAAACGTCCAGAACAAAACACCTCAAGTGTTATCCCATTTTTACATATCAATCTCGGATTTCGCTTACAAGATGGGTTCTGCGATTTTGATGAGACATCCACAAAATGAATCTAGCTTTAGACAGCAAAGATCACTGAAAAGCACACGATTCCACAAGCGATTGCAAATTGTTTTATTTGGGCCAGTGAGAAAACATCTGGGCTTTCTTTTTTTAACATCATTGATTGTCAATAATGCGGTTCTTCGTTTAATTAAGCAGTCCAGTAAAAAATGGGTGGTTTTTTTCTTGGGAGAAGATTTTTTTTATATAAACAGGTTCAGGTAAAATTGCAAAATTATTAAGCAATACAATCTAAGAAAACTGTCATAAATTTACATATAATTGTCCATGCCTATATATGCATACATTTAATCACTAGACTCTCTAAATGAGCATAAAAGAACACACCTTCAGTTTGTTTACCCCAAAAGACGAGTCAGATGCTAACAGGCTCTGATGTCCAAAACGAACCATTTGCTGCAGCTGCCACTCTGTCTGGATCCCCAGTATGAAAGGATCTGTATCGGACGAATCCTGGTAGAAGAATACGGATTTTTTGTTTTTTTCGACCCACATGCGAATGCTAGCCTGATCATCCAGGTCCAATTCATGGGTCGATCTTTTAATTATCATCTCCAACTTCTGGACATACTGCGATGCATTGACACTGGCATTTGGGCCACAGTAACGCTGGACTCCTTCAATGTGTGCTTGCAGCACATTCTCTGCAGGAACACCAAGATATATCAAGGACATGGTTTGCTGTTGGAGCTCATTGCCCACATATGGAATTTTCTTGGCCCCTGGACCGATGGCATCTTTGTCAAGAGGGCCGTGGCATATGAAGCCCGACTTGTTCACATGACGCCTTTCATGATATATTATCATAGCGACCGCTGGGCGTGCGTAGAGCCTCTTGACAGCGAAATGGCAAGTGCATCCACGCATAGATTGTGGTCTTGCAGCTCGGTTTCTCGTGTTCAGCCTGTACCTCCTGCTGGGCAAGATGGTCCCTCCCTCCCCGTAGTTCTCAGGTCCAAATGAGCACCAATAGCTGAGACATACCCAAAAAAAAGCGAGATTCAAGATATAAATGGTAATATTACGGGAGAGCAAGAATAGAGCAAAGAACAAGAGGAGAAGGCTCAGGTAGTCATAAAGCAATAGAGGGGGAAATGTTTTCTGAATGACTCACAGCCTGTAAAGCAAGTAGTCATCACTCTTGCACTCCTTCAGGCTGCCTCTAGATCTTTTCCTTCCCCTCTCAATGTGAAATCGAGTTGGGCACTCTGCATTGGAGGACTCCCCGGCAATGAAAGCATCCACCCGAGCATAAGGGATAAGAGCGATATCTTCAACATTGTGCTCGGTAGACCCAAATTTAGTCCACGTCAGGTCAGCTGCAGAAAAGACGTCATCTGGGGGATCTTGAACAGGAATGCTGACAATGGAGTCTTTAACCTCCATCAGCTCACAGCATAACCTAACGACCACACAGCTGGCAACAGTAATAACTGCCAATTAGATGGAGTGATAGCTTCAAAAGTTGGTGGAAGAAGAAACTCGCAGGACTTTAGGCTTTTAGAGAAAACAATGGAAAATTGGAGGCTATAGTTTAAATACCAGGAAATCCTTCCAAGAAATTCGCCTTTTTAGTGAAAAAGGGAAGGGAAATGCAATCAGACGTTATGCCCATTCAAAAGACAATGGCCTAAAAAAAAATTAAGCGAGGACAGACAGAAGGCAAGAAGTTGCGTTGATAGAGAAGGACAGCAGACTTGTCGCTCAATCAGGAGAAGATTAATTTTAGGATTTAGGGTTTGAATGAAAATTTAACTAAACCGCAGTAAAACTTCGTCATCTTTTTCTAAGCAAATTTTAAAGTACTTGTTTTTTGTTTTCAGAGTGATGAAATTGCAGAAGTTCTCACCCCAAAATGTAATTAAATGGAAACATGTTCTAGCAACTAAGGAAAGATGTGACCAGGAAAATAACAGAGCTAGGAAATGTGAAAAGAAGGGCAACGAAGAACAGGAAGAGACAAATCTTATTGATTTTTCTGGCATTAAGAAGAAGATTAATCAGAGAGAGCGACAATTCTATGATAATTCAGGCAATTTGACGACCAAGAGAAGCTTCCATTTCTCATATTCCTCCTGCTGCTAGCCATTGCTCATGTCAACTAGTGGGTCAACGAGGGTGTCTATACACAACCCCAGCTCCGTTTGGCGCCTACTGGATAACCCTTACTGCAGAACCCTTACAGATAGATTAAGTGGTTCAAAGCTCAGACCTGTGCAGCAAGCAATGGGTAGCTATTTGGACACCTTATGGAGACATTCAATGCAATAAGAGAGTTTTTCAGGGAGAAAAAACTCTGGTGTTTAAGCTAGATCAGGAGGAATTCGACAGCAAAGTTATCAGGCATTGTGTCCATAAGAGATATTTTCTTCGACGAGTTTCAAACAGTTTTTGATGGGCATTCCTATCAACGCGCAACCATATGGCCATTTAAAGGAGAATGTTAAGAGCATCTTGAGACCTATGCCTTCAAATATTTTCCCCAGAAAATCTCTCGGCTATTCTACGCGTCGCTCAAAAAAACCAGACATACAATGCTTGAAGCTCGTTAAAGATAATATCCCAGCCCTTCAGATTAAGAAAAACCCTTCCCAAATTCTCATCGCTCATCATAGCCACGACTGGGGAAATCAAAACAACAGAGGGACGGCGTTGGCGAGATCGTCAAAGCCCCAACACGGAACTCACCATCACCGCCATCGTCGCCGCCCTCCAAACCGTCCTCAGGCGCTAGCATCGCCAAAAAGTGAGAGACGGAAAACTCACCTCAGCAATGTATCAGAAGGGCAAAGTGACGGATGCCAGGCATGGCCACATCCGGCACTTTCGATCCACCCACAGCAGATGCAACCGGCGGAGGTGAGGCACGGAATCGAGAGGACTGGCCACGGTGCCCTCCAGCGGCGCGCACAGCGAGAGAGAGAGAGAGAGAGAGAGAGAGCCAAACAGAGAGAGGAGGGGTGGGGGAGAGAGAGAGGGGAAAGGAACATACAAGCATACGCTCTATTATGCCCAAAATCATTTTTTTTTAATAATCGGATTTAAATTATTTTGTTAATAAAATCATGAAAATATTCCGTCAAAACATTGTCGCATGAAATAATTAGTCTTAATCTGCGCATGATTTCTCATTACTTATTGAACTTAGTTCCCCGATACCCACCTTTGCATTGATCCTGCGAGGATCGTTCGATTTTACCGCTCTCTGATCCACGGTTGCGATTGACGCGAAATTAATCTCACCCCCTCAAATAATCTGTCGTATATCTCGCTCGAGCTTATACTCAAGGTTATTATAAATTAAGGTTTTACGATTTGTTGAGAAGTTTTCTTCCTTGATTTCATAGAAAAAAAAAAGAAGGTTTTTCATTTATTTGTAGAAATAGTGGGGGGTTTTCCATAAAACGGAGGGTCTTTCTCCCTTGTTGCGCGTCGAAGCCGGGGAGGATCCGCTCTCCGACTTGCACCTTCCCGCAGCCGTCGGCCGACCTCACAGCGAACCAGAAGAGAGAGAGAGAGGGAGAGAGAGAGAAGAAGAGGTTGAAGAAGATGAGCGTGAATTAGAAGAAATCTATAGGTCGGCGACAAGACAGATGGATCTAGTGCGAGGAGAAAGAATTTTAAACGTAGATGGAGAGATTGACGGCGAGCAGAGAAAGGGAAGGGAAAGGAAGAGAGGGACTGGTCGTCGGTAAGGAGGACAGACGATCAGATGGCCCGGGCTTTGATGATGTCGAAGCTCATCTCCGAGGGATCCGTGGCCTGCAACTCCACCTGGATCCCGTCGAGCTCCCTCTTGAACCTGTCCTTGGAGCTCGCGTACAGCATCTTGCTCCTCACCCTCGAGCTGTCCGGCGACCTGTCAGCGGCGGCGCCGGCGGTGAGGAAGATGGGAGGAAATGGGCGGAGGATGATGATGATGAAGATGACGATGACGATGACGATGAGGGGGGGGGGGGGAGAAGAAGAGAAAGAGGAGGAGGAGGAGGAGAAGGAAGAAAAAGAAGATGAACAGGTACCAGGCGATGAAGAAGATCTTGCTCTTGTGGCAGTTCTCGTGGGTGACGAAGTCGAAGTCGTAGACGGCGTAACGGCACTCTTCGGCGGGGAGGGAGGAGCAGAAGTCGTCATAGGACTCCTCCGGGAGGCCGACCCTCTCTACCGTCACCTGCTGGATCCTCTCCTCGATCTTGAACACTATGAACCGGTAGTTCCTCTTCGTCTTCAGCTCCAGGAACTTGAGCTTGCACTCGTCGTTCACCGCCATCCCCGACGCCGAGTTCGCCTGCGGCGGCCACAAGAAAAACGTGATCGGACGACCAGATCGTCATGTTAATCACAAAGAGAGAAGATCGCGGGAGAGAGAGGGAGAGGGGGAGAGAGAGATAGAGAGAGACAGAAGTGTAACCATGATGGAGGATGTCGATGCTGAAGAGAGATGCTGCTGAGGCGGTCCCCCTGTTGAGGCCAGGAAGGAGGAGGAAGAAGAAGGAGGGTCAGAAGAAGATCCTTGCGATGGAGATCGTCTACACACCAGAGATGGAGAGAGAGAGAGAGAGAGAGAGAGAGAACGTGGGAAGGGGAGAGGTTCAAGGGGAGAAAGAGGAGGGGCAGGGTGGAAGGGAGGGAGGTGACAGCTGCATGGTGCCACGTCCGGCAACTTCTGAGAGGAAAACCAAATCCGACCGTCCGCTTCCGTGATGGGGATCACCTCGTGAGGTCGCCTCACCCCCCCCCCTCCCCGCGGGTCCAATGGGAGCCCCCTTTTCCGGCGGCGGTCTCCACGTCATCTCTCCCCCCCTGACTGAACCCACCGCCCACGAGTGGATGCGATCTTCCATCGGCCCAGAAAAAAAGCTCTTCAAAATAAACCAAGGTCCTCCAATCTATTGAGTCCAAAGCTTATCGTTCAGGATAAATAAAAAAACAATCTTTCAGCCATTATTTAATGGGGCCCCGGATGAGGTCGAGGCTGAGCAATCGCAAGAAAGCACAGTTCCTTCGCCACTGTGAGGAGGCTAACTCATGTTTGTTTACAACAGGAGCAATGTCTCATCGTCTGCGGAAGCGCTTAGGACGGAAAAACTACCAGAAGAGGAAACTGTGACTGTCGGCTTGAAGCACCGTCAAGTCAACCATCGATCAGCAACTCGCCGCAGTTGACGATCCTGCAGGGCTGCCGTGGGCAATCCGATCGGCTGGTGTCCTGCGATTCCAGCCGCCTCACGACGTCCATCCCCTCCACAACGTGCCCGAACACAACGTGGCGCTTGTCCAGCCATGGAGTCTGCCAGGATGAACGAACCGAACAGATTAGGCACCGGATTGAGCAGAATTGCGGTGTGCTTCACTAAATACTTCTAACACGGTGGTCCAGGGATGAGCATGCAATCGAACCAATCATGGGTTCAGAGAAATAGATAACAGGGTGGGTATCATTATTAGCTCAGGAACTCAAAGGGTTGACTGGTTCCAACTCGCCACAAGCTTCCTGAATTCCTGGGGGCACATGAAATCAACAGGGTAGGTGTAGTTATATAGACCGAGGAACGTAGAAATCCCCGCCGGTGGATCAGTTAGCTTGCGGGGAGAGGAAGCCAAAAAAGCCATCACCTTTGTGGTGCATATGAAGAATTGGCTGCCGTTCGTGTCTGGGCCCGCATTGGCCATGCTCAGCACTCCAGGTCCGACATGCATCACTGAGAAGGGACGGCGCCATGGAAGTCAAAACCGCCGTTTTGGTCAGCCAATTCAAAGCCGAAGGCATTGCGAGGATTCAGGGCCTTGGTGACTCACAGGCGAAACTTTCATCTTCGAAACTGGAACCGTAGATACTCCTCCCGCCTGTTCCCTGCGACAGAAAAGAGAGGAAGGGGGGGAGAATACTTGAAGAAGATCAGTCGTCGGCATTAGGAAAGCAATAAGAAATAATAACAAGGCCAGGCGAGTCTAGAGTGAGAATAATTATCTGGCCCGCTGACCCATGAAAAATAAATTTCTGAAGAAAAAGTTCTATTCAGTCTCATTGGAAAATGGCCTTCGGACGGGGCCATATGAAGGCTGGACCCGGCCCTCCCCTCCCCTCCCCTCCCCTTCATGTGCAGGCATCATCATCATCATCATCATCAGAGAGAGAGAGAGAGAGAGAGAGGGAGAGAGGGAGCTGAGATAGCCTGCTCTTGAAGATGACCATGGGGATGAGCTAGACCGCCCCTACTGAAATCCAGAATTGGCCCATCAACACAAGAAGCCTGGGCTTTTTGGGATATCTCTGCTCAACTGACTGACACACCAGGGTTCAACATATTGTCATATCTCAACCAACGAATCTGCATCTAAGAAACTTAGGACGAAAGGATGATGAACTCGATTATGCCATGTAGAGTGGGAATAAGACGAGTCTACCCACAGATGCATGGGTCGTCAAACCTATTTCCCACTATCTAGCAGGAAGAGACAAAATCAGAAAGCTAGACAGCTAAGAGTTAGTAGAAAGAAGCGAGGTCAAAGGCCCACATTTCCTCGGTCGAAGTCTCCGCCCTGGATCATGAAATCTTTTATTATGCGGTGAAAGGAAGAACCTTTGTAACCAAACCCCTTCTCACCTGTAAAATATATCATCACTGAAATCAATGAAGGATCGCAGATAAAGGGTGAAGTTCTGTTGCGAAAAAGATTTAAATATGAACAATAATCGTACAACTGAGAACCGCTCACCTGTGCATAAGGCCCGGAAATTCTCAACAGTAATGGGAACAACATCCCCAAAAAGGCCGATCACGATTCTCCCAGCTGATTCGCCCCCAATCTCTATGTCGAAGAAGCACTTGTTCGTCACCCTCGCCTGAAGTTCTGAGTCCTAGAAAAGCAGAGGCACTTTTTCATGCCTTTGATCCATCTAATCGGTTTGAGAAAGATAAAATCTGATCTCAACCAAGAAATTACAAGAGGGGCAATAGTTTTTTTCTTCATCAGCAAACGTGTGTCGTCAACCAAAAATCAAAATAACTGAGAAAATTAGTCTAAAAAATACAGCTTTTATCTGGTAAATGAGTAGGCATATCCGGTGAATCTTTTTTCTTCTTTTTAGTGAGCGGAAAGCATGATGATCACTTTGCCAAATCCAGATCAAGTACATGCAATTGACCAAGCCCAGATAGAAAAGAAAAAAAAACATCACACAACATGCCACTGTACTAAAAAAACTAGCACCACATCTGCCTAACGTGAATTTTGTCTGGCAGGAATATCGATTGTATTTGAAAAACTAGTGCCACAAGAAAGTATTGATATTTGCTGGAGATCAGCAGCACATACACTTCCTCAGCAATCCACCAGAGTTCAGTCTCGAAGGAAGAAAGTTTGCCTCTCTAGGCAACAAAATACCCCCAGAATGCCAACCCTGTCCTGTCCTAAGACAAAGGGAATGACGGATAGAATAGATTCATAGACCGCCAGGGAAACTAAAATTCTGAAGAAAGTTCACGATGCTACTGGAATCCCCAGTAAACGTATACTTGAAGATGGTACCAGAAGGATGATCTTTGGGTGGTTGTAGAAGAGAGCTACGATTGGCCACACAATCCCACAAGATTATCATGCAGAACAGCAAGACGAGCGGAATAAGAATAAGAAAAACTATCTTATGCCAGTTCTGTATATCCGACAAAAGATAACTAAATCAATCTTCCCACGATCAAAGGAGGGCATGAAATATTGAAGAGGAAGTTCGAAGGCCGGGAAAAATGTTTTTTTCTCTATACGAGTGAGAACAGGTCGAAGTCCCTCTGTAGGAATCGGAATTCGATAGAGATCATCTCCTCAGAGCGTTGGAAGACACTTCTTCATCACCTCTCATGCTTCTCACACTTTGGAGGCCACCAACGCGCGGAAAAGGATAAATCTCTTGCGCCCTTTTCTACCATTCCCTTTTAATTTGACTCATACTCGAGATTATAATGCAGCAGCATTCTCCAGCTAGTCTAGCCCTCTTCGATTTCATCCAAGAAAAAAAAGAAAAAACGCAGAAGAGGAATAATACGGCGATCTCAGCGAGGAAAATGAACCCAGCTCTAGATGGGTCGACTGCAGAGAGGAAGATAGAGCATAGCTACTGCGTTCCCCGTGTCTCTCTAATTAGCTCCTTGGGGTGTCAATTTATAAACAAGTTTGAATCTTCTTGACGTACAATTTTTCCTGGGAAGATGGAGCTGAGGAAGGAGCACGGACCTCCATTCAAGTGCACTTCTCTGCAATGCAAATGCTCTAGGCTCACCGGTTTCCCCGACTATTCTAGATTTTTCCTTCTCAATTCCTCACTCACACAATGAGACAATTAAAAAAAAATGGATGTTCCTACGTAGCAGGCATAACCCAGGAGACGAGCACATGGATAGAGAGAGGTTGGGAACGGCGGGGCACTCGCACTGACCTCTGCCGTGGATTTGACGCAAACCACCCTCTTCTGAACTCGACCGGAGGCCGAGAGGACCAGCGGGACGGTCCGCATGCGAAGGCAGGACGAGTAACCGGTGGAGGAGGACAACGAGGCGGCCCTCCTCGAGGACGCGACGAGGAGGGAGGAAGCAGGAAGCGGCGCCACCAAGGGGGCACCCCGGCCGCCGCAGGCGTTGTTCACCCTCGCAGCGGAGGGGGACATTGCGGTCGCCATGGGGAAGAGAATGGAGAGAACAGGGGGAGAGTGAGCAGGCGGGGGACGGAAAGATGAGGATAGCGGCGGAACCTGCGGGCGAATAATTGGGTCAACTTAAAAGGGGTCAACTGAAGAGTCGAAAAATTGGGTGCTCTCTCTCCGTCTCTCTCGCTCTGGCTCTCCTTCTCCTGACCTCCGTCAATCATCTTCGTAACCCGAAAGAGTTGGCTAAAGAAGGGGTTTTTCGCCTCAGAAGTACGGCTACTCTCTCTCTCTCTCTCTCTCTCTCCCTCCAGACCTGCCTCCGTTAGTTAATCAGCTTCGTAACCCGAAAGTGATAGTGATTGTTCAGTTCTTTAACATCTCCATATGAATATTTGTCACAAGAAATGAAGATAAAAAAATTATTCAATTTCTCCAACAAAGTGTCTTATCCAAAATTCAAAAAACTAATAATGGACAAACTTTCTCAGAAAATTAAGTTTGAAATCTTAAAACCCATGGTATTATGCTTTTGAAACCAAGATGAAAGAAGAGTAATATCTGTCTCAATGAGTTTACATGTTGAATCCCAATATATTTGATCTTATTTTTTCACAAAAGAATAAGAACTATGCTTCAACATCACAAACCATACTTATCTCTGATAAATTAGTGTCATACACTCCAATTGTCTATGTTATATAGAAAATGTGGATTCAATATATCATTTTATATCATATTTTCTTGAAGATGAAATTTGGACATTTGTGGAATGAAATGTATTTAAATAGTAGTTGACTTATTTTAATAAATACATCAAAAATGATATTTGTCGAACTAAATAGATATTTCAATCAAATTTTGGTTCGTATTGAACACACCGCCAATGAGAATTAACTTGTTGCTAATGAAAAATCCACACTTATGATCACATAATTTATATAACGGATGATGAAAATTAATAGAAAAGAAGCAGCCAGCTTTCTTTTTTAGAACACAAATGTGTTGTTGATTGATTCTTGTATTATCCTCCTCACCACCCTCAGATCCTAGAGCATCACAAAGCAATCGTAATTCTCTATGGAGTCAAATGCACCATTGGATGCAAGTTGACAATACTCGAGGATGTTGACTATGTCGTCAGAAATTTGGCAACGATAATGTTTTGGAGAGATGAAGATAAGCACGTCGTCTTCATGGCTACAGCGCTGGTGAGCTTGGGACAATTCCCGGGGATATATGGCAGATGTTTTTTTTTTTTACAATTTTTATTTGGATATACGGGCCTATTTTGTCGTGGATTCGTTTTGACTTGGACAGTTCAATAATTTTACAATCTCAAGTTTTATTGACACGATTTGCCCCACCCCCTCAATCGTTCATTCGCAATTAACTCCTGAAGGAACTCTCCTCAATCGCTTATGAGGCCCGAGCACGTCGATGCCCCACAGGCCGTTTTCAGCAACAGAGTCAACGGGCAGTTGAAGGTCACTTGATCCCTTGGCTCCACTCTCTTCAAAACAAAAGTCAGCCCTTTGAAAACTGCTGGGAGTAATTACCTAGGAATATCAGAAAAAAAAATATAAATTTTACTGGTCTCCGATTTTTTCTGATTACCTTAGAAAATTCACAGTTATCTATTTATTTTTAACATTTTCAAATCATAAATTAATTTTTATGGGGGTTAATTCTTTCAAAGAAGAGGGAAATGCCGCGTGCCAGTCTGGGCCGGGCCCAGCTACCGCCACCGGGCCCAGCTCCCTGAGTTTGCCAAGAATAGAAAATCATGAAGACAAGCTGAATCCTGCCGTCCGATCGGATCTTGCGTGTTGAAGATTGTCGGATCCGATGCCCTGTTGTCATCGGTTAAGACGGCAGCCCAATGGGCCTCATATGGCCCCCACTGTTCGATTTGGACCTTTCCCCGAAAGACTGGATCCGAAAACAGAACGTCGATTATACACTAATCGGGTCTCGGTTTGGGTTCGGGTAGTGATCGGCATCTGCCTGCGTTCCTTCCGACTTGCCGTCCAAGCCAACGAACAGCAGCTTTTCCATAGCTTCTGCCCTCTCTTCTCCCTCCCCACTCTCACTCTTGCTGCAGAACCCTAGGTTGCGGGGGAAGAGGCCTGCGGATCCTTCCACGGAGACTGAAGTACCGGAGATTGGGGGCGCCGCCTCACGTCTACAATGTTTCTCACCAGGTGAATGAAGAACGGACGTTCTGTTTTCGGTTAATTCGAAATCTGATCTTCTTTCTGCCCTCCATTTCCCCCCCCTATATTTTACGGAAACGATCGGCCGAATTTCTCTCCGTGTTCATCTGGGTTTCCATGGGTTGCCTGTGGCTGTTCTCAGGACGGAGTATGATCGGGGAGTCAACACATTCTCTCCTGAGGGTAGGCTGTTCCAGGTCGAGTACGCCATCGAGGCCATCAAGGTGGGCATACTCCGAGGAAGACGCGCGGAAATCTGAATTTTCGGATAACTGATTTCAAAACCTATTCATTCTTCATTTTTAGTCATCTTTCTTTGTTGCAGGTTTTGAAATTCTAATCTATTTTTCTTTCTCTGCCGTCTGATTAGTTGGGTTCTACGGCTATTGGTCTGAAGACGAAGGAAGGCGTTGTGCTTGCCGTCGAGAAGCGAATCACCTCTCCTCTTCTGGTCCGCACACCGTGCCTATTTTCATTCCTTTTCATTGTTTTTTAGATATAACTTTTCCTCAAATTTGGGGGAAGGAACTCGTAATCTCATTTGAACCACGGACTAGTATGATTCGTAGTATCGTAGGGGAAGATAAAAAAACAAATGGCCGAAGGTTCGTTTAGTAATACGCCTCGGAGCTGTGTTTCAAGGTGCATGCTCTTGATGAATCCTTCTGATGATGCTAAAGGATTCATGTGTGTGTGCCAGACTCTTTACGTGATTTCTCCTCGAAAATAAGGTTAGCCTGTTTCAGTCTTCCTAACAGAGTCCGTCTGCTTTTGTGTATTGCTTTGCAACATAATCCTGGTTTTCTGCATAGACAACATTTATGGTCATCCTAGATTCATTGTAACATACTCGAAAACCCTTGTATTGGTGCCCTCAAGTTGCTCAACCAGCTGACGGAAGGTCTTCCCACTTTTCACATCGTCGAGGAATGCCAATTAGTATCTGAGTCCAGCCGTGAGAGTCGAGACTTCAGATGATAGAAGCAGACAAATACATTTTTAGCACAAAGAGGTCTTCTGCGTTAACCTCCGATAACCTTTCATGTTACCATTCTCAAAGACATGAATCCTCTATAAGTGACAGAGAGAATCTCTTTTATCATCGATATTATTTTTGAACTTAGGTGTGCTACCTCACGAGTTAGCTACGAGTTAGCCTGGGCTGTAGCATTGCTACTGATTTCTTATTCAGTTTACTCATATGTGATGGTAAAATTGCTGGCGTATCAGCTATTTAGATGGATTAGTTTTCTAGGGCAATATTGTCTTACATTTTCGGTCTTTTCTTAGTTGAGGGAGAATACCTTCTTTCCGTAAAATCATATGGTGAGGAGTAAACGGCGTAACTTTATGAACCCTATAGGCATACTCGCTTCTGCATGAATGAACCCTTTCAAACCGGGCCCCAAATCCATGATTGCCCTTGTTGGGAACAAAGTCTCATTTTCTACGGTGGGAAACAGTTTTTTCCTGCAGTGTAATTTTATTAGCAGTAATGATTTACCGTGCCTTTGCACCACTATACCTTGCGTGATCATTTTTAGTAGTGAAATCTTCTTGCTTAGCATGCTTCTTGATTCCCAGTATCATAGTTTCCCTAAAACGTGTATGCAGTCCACTCTACTCTATTAAATCTAACCCGTTTATAAATGTCCATTTATGTACTTAACCGTTATGCGAATGAATTTTATGGTGGACGCATGGAGAGGTGATGCGATCTTGTATCGGATATCTTTCATGAGAAAGATGATATCATCAAAATGGTACCAATCAATTGTAGGGGCCTGAGATAGCTTGCAGATGTAAAAAAAGAAACTGATAGTTGGATCTGTTTAGTCAAGCAATCATTTTTTTTTGTGAGATTCTCTTAAGGGGAACAAGAATACTGACAGGAACCTTTTTTAAAGTGGTTTCTTCAAATAAAATTGAAAATTATAGAGAAAATATATCTCATGCAATACATATCTTTAGCACTGTTTTGAATCTCATGCACATATTTCGGTGTATGTTCAAGTCCTTTTCAACCAAAAATATTAAATCCGTGGGTATTGGTGTACGATGGCATCATTTCGAACCCTTATTTTTACTGATTTTCTGTTGTTTCCAGTGTTGCTCGGAGGATGACTAGCAATGATAGGATGCATGTATAAATTGCTGATTTCGTAGGATTCATGCAGTTAAGACTTGAAGTGCTTTTCATATGATTTTCTCTTAAACATGTGAATTTTGCTGTTTTCCTCCAAAATGTCTTGAACCCGTCTCTTTCTGAGAGTTGCGTCCTAAGATTTTACTGAATAATGTGGAAGGAATTTATCTTAGATGTTGGGCACGTTATTGATTGTGCAATCTTTGTACCTACTCTGTTTCCTTTTCTTTCTTCAGCATCTTCTACTTTCTTGAACTCAATAGAAAACTGTCTGTTGTCCGATTCTCCAGGAGCCAAGCAGTGTGGAAAAGATCATGGAGATCGATGAGCACATAGGATGTGCTATGAGTGGTCTTATAGCTGACGCACGGACTCTGGTGGAACATGCTCGTGTTGAAACTCAAGTACTGTTTAACTTCCTAATAATTTCTATGCTGTAGTGGAAATTTCACAAGAACATTGGATTAAATGAACATTCATTTTCATCAGAATCACAGGTTCTCCTATGGAGAAGCAATGACTGTTGAATCAACTACACAAGCATTATGCGATCTTGCACTTCGGTTTGGTGAAGGAGATGAAGAATCCATGGTAATGATTGGTTCTGCTTTGTGAGCCTTTTATTTTTTTTGACACTCCAAGAGACTTTTGCACTGGTACAGGTGATATTTTTATTATCGTTTGGTTTCTCCTTATTCTCTGACCTCTCCTTAGATTATTATTTATTTTGCATCCAGAAATATTTAATGGTTCTTTACATGATTAGAATGATATTGTCCTCTCCTCCTCAATTCATCTCTGATCTGTGATTCCTAAGGTAAGACACAGATTTCGTTTCCAGTGAATGGCTGATTGTCAGGAAAAAAGAAAAAACATGATTTAGTAGCCGTTGCTGTATTTATATCTGTGCGGAGATGAATACCTTCCTTACCATCGTTCTCCATTGCTGTCTCCCTGCTCGAGTTGGAGGTTATTGAGAGTGAATGCGATAAACCCCACTGTTCTTGTCCTCCAGAACAAAAATGTTGTTTGTAGTCGTCTTTGTCATTGTGTTGTGACTGGTGCTGTTGATTGGGCAAACGTAAACCATTGAAGTTTTACCTTTCCAGTAAAACTTTTAGTACCTGGGTGCCCTGACGACGGGAGTGTCTAGTACTGTGACAGACCGGAGGATTACGTTTCCCTTCAGTTTCTTGTAGTGATAGACTGTTGATATCTCAGGGTGGAACCCCCCCGCTGCCTTGGGTGTTATCTATTTTCACGCTTGATGTCTTTGGATTGGGAACATGCTTGTTAGGTTTGTATTTATGAATACGTCCTTGAAGATCGTCTTATGGGTAAATGAGTATGATCACTGGCTGGAAAAGGTTCCTGGAGTCTGTTAGAAGCACACTGCCACTAGTTGGCTACATTTTGGCCGCACTGAGTCGGTTCCAGTTAATGCCTTTAGCTGGAACCGCAGAAGATCATTTTTTTCAGACATGTCACTGAGGTAGTCAATTATCTGATTCTGTTGGGGTGGTCCGGAGAGACAGTACTATGTGGGAAACCTGGCAATCTAGATGTTCAGGGACTTTTTCAGATACTTTCCAACGATGTGTTTTTCTGAGGAATCTGAGGTTGAGAATGAAGATTAGTGAAATAGTTACTGAAAGTAAATCCAAATCTGTCATTGATAATTCCAGCAGAATGGAAGCAGATTAATAGACTTTTTAAAAAATAAGCTGCCCGGTCATTGATCTGAGTGGGTATCGTTGGGAGACAATAGGTGTTATAGGTAAGCATTAGGAAAGTGTCTTACAAAAGCCACATGGCTATCTTTAAGGATAGGTTTGAAGGAGTAATTGTCTATGTGATTTTTCAGCAAAAAAAAAGAAATAAAAAAAAGAAGAAGAAAAAGATGTCGTTCTTCATTGGTAGTTGATGCACATAAAGAATCAGCTTTGAGCGTGCATATTTTTGCACTCATCACCAGTTCAAAAGAGTGGATTAGATTAGAGTATTGTCTGTGGTTATTATTTTGTTAGCATTCAAAAAATGTTAGTAAAAAAATGTATGAAGCCCATTACATATTTGGTTGGTGGAATAGTTAACAATATAAGTTTGGTTGGTAGAATTTGTTTTATGTTTTTTGGGGCAAAGTTTAGAGTCTGCTTCTAGCCCATTATATCTTTGCCTTTTTATAAGTTAACAGCACTTATCAAGAGGGAAATGCTACGGTATATCTTATTCATGGGTGATGCGAACTGAAGAGTATAAGGTGTGTTTAGGAAATACATAACTAGGAAAAATAAAATACATTGGCCTTATTAGCCGAGGTACTTTTAGTGTAGGTGGAAAGAGAATAGGAAAAAGGATTTATACTCGATGATCACCCTAAAGTTGGGCTGAATGACCGATATGGGGCTATTCTTGATGGCTGACTTGCCCTGTCACATGGACAACAAAAAAACGGGGTGCATTCAGCCCAAGAGTGGCTATTGTCTCTGATAGATACCACGTTTGATTTTTCTGGGCGACGGTCTCAAAATCAAGTGCCATATATATAAGCCCCCATTTTTACAGGTTTGTTCTTCAGAATGTAAACAGCCTGAGAAAAGTTGTTTTGAGATGGTCGCTTGTATGGCGCAAAGAAGATCAGCTCAGCCAGCAGACCGTCCCCCTCTCTCTCTCTCTCTCTGAGCCGGCAGAGAGACTAGAAAGGGTTTTTTTTACGATTTCTGTCACCTATCCATTGCAGCAGGCCCTCCCTTGCATTGTTTCCGCGATTTGTTAACTGGGGTGGGGAGTGGGCCCCCCCATGGCTTAGATAAAACTTATTTTCATTTTTTTTTATCATAGATCTTATTGAGTAAAAACTATTTTATTTATCAAAGTTGTTTGTCATTCCATTTTGTCAATGTGCGGATTGCTCTCATTCTTCAATGGTTCTTCTTCTTCGATGTAGTCTCGGCCTTTTGGAGTCTCCCTTCTGATTGCTGGACACGATGAGAACGGGCCCAGCTTGTGAGGCTCTCCCTCTCTCCCTCTTGTCTTCCTTGTGCATTGGATTCATTACTATGACTGGGTTGGTTGTCGTTGACCATGCATAATCACCGCCCCAAGTGGTTGTCATCCCGCTTCGTTGACTTGCTGCCTCCCACAACTTGGTTCGCGCAGGTACTACACCGATCCTTCCGGCACATTCTGGCAGTGCAATGCAAAAGCCATTGGATCAGGTTCCGAGGGAGCTGATAGCTCTCTGCAAGAGCAATACAACAAGGTAAGGTCTTACGTGGGGCCCACTATCGCGTGCCTTTTAAAATGCTTGTACACCCCACCCCGTATAATGAATGGGCGATTGGGTTATTTTATTTTATTTTAATGTAGGAACTGAGCCTTCTGGAAGCGGAGACGATAGCACTCTCTATCCTGAAGCAGGTGATGGAGGAGAAGGTACGTTCTCCTTCCTCGGTTGGAGTATCTGCGGGATTTCATGGAATTGACTCGAGATCCGACGTGGCCAGGTGACTCCGAACAACGTGGACATCGCGAAGGTGGCCCCCACGTACCATCTGTACACCCCTGATGAGGTGGAGGCCGTTATCAACCGGCTGTAGTTGGGAGAGAGGAACTGGGCCACATTGGGTTTCTCTCGTTGGATTCTTGCTTCCAGTTTGGGTTCGGGAAAGGCTGCACACCTAGGCACATTGGGTGTGGGCCTTTCCTTTCGGACGAGAACCCCTCCTGAACATGGTTTCATCCATCAATGAGGATTCTTGGACGGCGGATGCCAAAACCGCTGACGGTTTCATCCATCAATCAGAGGGTTAATTGCCGGTATCATTTTTTATTTTTCTAGTTCATTTTGACGGGGCCTTTTTTTTTTTTTTTAAATATAAAAAATAGAAGAAGGTGGGTGATTTTTGTGCGGCTCTCTTTTTCGGAATTAATTATTTCGGAGATGTTTAACCGTATTTATTCGCATGCGATTCCTCGAAGGTTGTTATTTATTAACCGATCAATTATTCACGGGATTCTGAGATGTTTCGGTGGGGGGTGATATCTTCTCTGTTTGAGAGATTTTCTGTGATATTTTCATTCTTCTATCTATAAGAAGAGAATGTTCTTATTCGTGGGGACGCTGGGGATACACAAAATAAAAACAATGAACCATTGTTTTCATTTTTCTGGCCGCTCCGATTTTCTTATTTTATTATTACTATTTTTTTTGCGGGGAGGGGGAGGAAATTACTTTGCCGTTAAGCTCTTGGAAAACTGCTAAATATATGTTAATACGTAGTAGAACATTCCATTTAATGCTTTGCAAATCTCTCTCGACAAGTTAAGTGCGAGAGAGAGAGAGAGAGAGAGAGGCAGACACTCAATATTACGATGGCTTCGAAGGCGCGACTGATAAAGCTACAAAAATTAAAAAAAGGGTATATACGTTATTAAAATATTTACGGGGGCTTATAGTAACTTTCTTATTTTCTTATTTTCTTATTTTCTTTTTTTCCCTCGAATGAAGGAACAGAAGAGAGAGAGAGTTCGGCAGATCCTCCGGGGACGAGGGAGCAGGGAGGGAGATGGGGAGCCGACCACCCGCATCGTCGAGGTGGCCGTTCGTAGCGATCCTGCTCCTCCACGCCGTCGCCATCCTTCTCTTCACCCGGGGCTTCCTCCTCACCCGGACAGAGCTCCCCTTCTACAGCACCTGCTCCGACATCTCCCTCTCCCCCTGCTCCCCCTCCTCGACGAGGTCGTCCCCGCCTTCTTCTAATGGGACGTCAGCGGCAGATATGGGCGGCGGAGGCGGCAAGTGTTGGACCAAACCCGCCGTCGGCCGTCTCGTCATGATTGTCCTAGACGCCCTCAGGTGAAACACCCACGTTTGTTTGGCTCACTCTGAATCCCGCATTGTTTTCAGGTGTTGAAAGGTGGATTGTGTTTGCTAATTTTCGCGAGGTTAATCCGTAAACTCTATGGCGGAGCAACGGTCAAGTTTAGAGGCCATTTTTTGAAACTGTTCCAGCTACTGGGCGTGATGTGCTTCATTAGGGATGAAATGTCCGCTACTGGGCAGAATTTTATCCGATGATCTGTTCATGAGGGGACCTCGGGGGCCATCAGAGTTGGTGCGGAGGGGGGAGGGAGGAGTGTGCGCGCGATAAAGACCGAAACTGGCGCCCAGGAATTGCGTAGAATCAAGTTCGGAAAGCGTACCAAATAGGATGCTTCAAGTTAATATGGAATATTCCAGTTCATAATCGCTTACTAGGCACGCTGGTAAAACGGACCGATGGCGGTTTTATTACCAGGGTAGTGTCGGCCTTTACGATCACATCCTTCTATATTTCTCATGGTTCAGGATGGTCCCATTTAGTAAATTGATCTAATATGCTGGAGGGACTTGTATCACGATCCAATGCTCAAGAAAGCTCTGACAAAGTTGTCGTAGCATAACTGTAATTTATGAGAAAAATCTGTGAAAACTTAGTATGAAGGGATGTTGGCTTGTAAACATCAGACATCAATTGATTCAGTAAGAGATTGAAGAGGCTAATCCTTGATTCCCTGATGATATGAATTCCACCAGAATGTTGGTCGCTGGAATGTATGTGGATGATGGAAAAATCCAAAGAAAATCAACAGTTTAACGTCAATTAAAAATTTAACATTTTATTATAAAGCTTTCTGACCATGAGTTTATTTTCTCCAATTTCTTATACCATTAATGTCTCCTAGTTGTCTTAAACTATGGTGGAAAAAGAATTTTTAACCGAGAGAAAATCAGTTGAAATCTTAATCAAGTGAGTAAATGCAACATTATCAACTTTTTTGGAGAAACATTTTTTTAGCATTTTATGCTATGCAAAAAGTTCAAAAGGAAGGCCTCTATTTTGTATCTTTTGGATTTGTGGCATGGATTATTTGTGCCTTTCTTCTAGATGCCGAGTTTCACTTGAAGGAGTCACAGTTGGATATGCTAATATCCAGACTGTTCCATTTAATGCTTTATAAATGTCTCAGGCAATGGGCACTGGAGAAAACTTTGTTAGTTTTAGCTTGCCTGTATTGTTAAACAGCTGTTCAAAAAGAGAAAAATGTAACAAAAAATTAGGAATGGTATGGAATCATGTAGATATGCCTATCCTTGGTCTAAAAATCTTTATGGCGGATTCTTAGAGCCTGTATATTCGCAATTAGTCCTCAAATGGAGAAGAGATGGTTAGGTGTAGAATTATATGGGTTATGGAGGAAGCAATGGTAATTAAATTTCAAAAAATTTCCATCTAATTTCAATATCAAACTATGTGTGCTTTGCTTACTCAAGTACTAATTTTTCTACCCTGCCCTGCAGATTTGACTTTGTTGCGCCCAGCATATTCTTTGATGGTTAGTGATTTTTTTTATATTATAATTTTAGTTAGATGTTGTGGTTTCTATTTGTTGTTCACAGGTCCTTTAGTTATCTGTTGCATGCCATGTCATGAAAGATGCATAGTGTAGTCTTTAAGTTAAGTTGATTTTATGGATGGCTTATATAATTATTAGTCACATGGCCTACTCATCTTCTTCTAGAGGTGAAACCTTGGATGGACAAATTGAAGGTGTTGCAGAAGCTGGCTTCAGATGAGGGATCATCTGCTAGGATATTTAAAGCCATTGCCGATCCACCAACAACTAGTTTACAACGTCTGAAAGTGATTTTTTGCCATTTCAAAACTTTTACCTTCATGTACACATACTATTCCATGAAATGAATACTAAAAATAGTTACTCTAACGAAATGATTCTTTGGAGTAAAATATTTAGGGTTTGACAACGGGAGGGCTTCCTACATTTATTGATGTTGGGAATAGCTTTGGAGCTCCAGCAATCAATGAAGACAATTTATTGTATCAGGTTTTTTTTCTTCTTCTTTTTGCCATCTTGTCAATTTTCTTGACTATTATGATTGTGGTTGTCTTGTTAATTGATTTTTCACGGTATCAACAGTTGGCCAAAAATGGAAAGAGAGTTTTAATGGTTGGCGATGATACCTGGTTGCAACTTTTCCCTTACCACTTTTTTGAAGCTCATCCTTATCCATCATTTAATGTTAAAGATCTTCATACGGTACCATAAGTCTCCATTACTTCTTCTTGAAGCTCATCTTTCACTTTCCTTGGATGCCATTGTTACAAGAAGCTTCCTCTGTTTTCAAATGAGGATATCACAGTTGGTATGTTTTCCTGCATTTAGGTGGATAATGGTTGTATGGAGCATCTACTGCCATCGCTGCTTAGGGAGGACTGGGATGTTCTCATTGCTCATTTCCTTGGTGTGGTACGTTGGACCTCTTGCTTCCAGAAGGAACAAAATAAAAAATTAGACTCTTTTTTTTTTTTTCCTGGCCTGGGCCAGAAGATTGAGTGTCATGTACATTAAGATTAATATATTCATTGACTTCTGCGTTATAATTTGAATTTCTTAGACGGTTTCTAGTGCCATCCTCCTCATTTTTGATCTTACTACTGGGGACAATCCCTAGGATAAATTGCATCAGAATAGTTTCTTGATTTACCATGAAACTGTTTTATTTGTTGATAAAGCTTCTTTTATTTGTCAAACTGGTATAAATATTCCTTATTTGTAATTGTTTTGGGATTTTTTTGATATCTTATCAATATCTATTCTCTTCTGGTTTTGAAAATTTCATTAGTACTCATTTTTACCCTGGCAATTTAATTCTTTCCATATCATTTTTATTTTTGATTCTTTCTTGTTTTAGGTATGAATTCATCGTTACACATTTCCAGAGGTGTTTCATAGATTATTGGCACTGAAAAGTCCTGGATTGGTATCATTTTCTTTTGTGTTAAGTTTTTAATTATCATGCATGAAAAAGGCAGTATAACGGCTATTGCTACATTTGATGGCAGGAAATTCATGATTTGAAATTTCAGTCTCCTTACTCTTGGTTTTGAGTTCACGTTGCTAGAGAAATTACATGATCAAAGCTAAGAATAGAAGCGAGAGAATGATCCATGGAAGATAGAGAGGGAACCGATAACTGAATGTCCATTTATCCTTTGAGAGTTAAGTGAATGATATTGGGAATTTAATATAATGCAGATGTTATCTTTTGGTGATGTGGTGAATCGGGTGGACGATGATGATCTTTGTAACCATATTGAACTCATTGAAAAATTGTTTTGAATTGAAGCATTTGCTGATTACAATGAAACAGAAATGTAAAACTTATAAAAGCATTAATTGACCTAGCAGTTGCTGATTACCGTGAACAATCTATAGCAGCCTGTGACAACCTTAGTTGACCTAGCAGTACTGATTCTTACCCATGAAAGTCCTAGTAATAGATTTCGTAGAAACCTAGTAAGAAACTGTTATCGTGAATGAAAATAGAGGGCAGAGAAGACAAATTTATTGGTAAACTAGGTGAGAAACCTATTTATAGATGATGAGGACCTTGGAATGAAAACTACTAGGTAAACTCACAAAGTTACCCGTATTGCTGATTGTAGTATAACTCAGTTGGTGTGTCAATAAAGTGGTGAATGAAGAGATATGGACTACTCTTCAGAATATCCGAATGATGGTGGTGGTAGCATATTAACTCGTGGTAGGGGACATCCTCTGAGCTGGATTTTTTGCATTCTATTCTTTAATGTCTTACTGTTTAGAAATTAATATATATATATACTAAAGTGTCTGAAAAAATTCTACCTATCAGTTATTTTGTCTTAACCTTTTAATGTTTGTGCGAGCTTAATGCAACTTTGAGTTTCTGCATTTGGTTCAGGATCATGCAGGACATATTTTTGGTGTTGATTCTTCTCCAATGATTGAAAAACTGGAGCAATACAATACTATTTTAGAGGTATTGCCGACATAAATTTTTGGTTGATCTTGCTTGTTTGTTATTTGTTTCTGTTTCTACTGGGAAGGTCGTGGTGGCAGTAGTCAGATAAAGTGTTTCTTTCCCCTGTTGTTTTGTCATGCGGTTTACAGAGGGTTAAGCTAGTTGTTTCGAACTATATTGCCGTATGCTTACTTTTCACTTCATCTATTACATTCGTCACGTGCAGTTCAATTTTTCAGAATGTCATTGAAACCCTGAAGAATCACTCTGGGCCTGGTGGTCTTCATGAGAACACTTTTTTCGTGGTGATGGGGGACCATGGCCAAACAGTCAATGGTGATCATGGTGGTGGAACTGCTGAAGAGGTCTGTGCTTCATAGTAGGCCATTCTTTATGTTCACACGATCCTGATTTTAGCTTTCTCTTGCAGGTAGAAACATCACTTTTTGCAATGAGTTTAAGGAGTTCCCCTTCATTTTCATCTATTCCTGATGGCCTTACCTGCAAACAAGACCTGGTACGTTTTCTTCCCGCAATACTTAATCCTGTGTTGTTTGAGAAGGCTTCCTTTCCGTATTCAAGTTAGCTCCGTGACCAAATACTCAATTGTCTGATATCCTCTTTCTCAGTATTATATAATCCTCTCCGTGCATGTGTCTTATGCTTAGATTCTGTTGTCTTCATCCATGGGTAGGCAGAAGGTTTGAACGTGTGGATGAGTTTAACACAAAACAAAGCATCATACATGACGATAAAATAAAGTAGTTCACATTGCAGCCATTTTAAATCTTACTGCAACATGAGTTTCTGAATGATATAGCTCTTACCTATGTTCCATGGAGGGATTTCAACCATTTTAACATGTCAATGTTGCTTTAGACAAATGAGTCCACCATATTTTATACGATTTCTGAGTGCAATATACTTGTTATAAGAAGTCTAATGTTCTACTATAATCTTGGAGATTTGTAACGACAAGTTATTTCTTTTAATGGCCCTTGACACTCTTAGTACATTCTCAGAAGTATTTGGTTGATAGGTGGATTCCATTATCACTAGATGGAAAGAATCTGGGTGGACTCCATTATCACAAATGTATTTGGTTGACTAAACTGATCTCTTAGCTGCTCTGCTCTTATAGGCTTCTCCTCCCTTGTTTCTTATTCCACTGAAAGCCAGTTTGCCCATTTTGTGACTAGAGGTACAATTGGGTCAGTACCCAGTTGAAGAGCTTGATAAGATGATACCTGACTTATGACACTGTTTTCCCGCGGGACGAAATCGTAGGACTTTGAGCTGAGACTTCTAGAAATTTTCTGAATATTGTCATTTTCTCGAATAAATTCTGCCGGCTGTTATACATTTTCTTTTCCAACACATCCTGAGTTTGTAAGGCCAAGCTGAAATCATAGAGGGAACGGATGCCAGAAGGACCCCCTTCCCTCGTAGAAAGATCTTTTGCTAGTGTGTCGGAAGAGAGTTAGTCGTTGATATCCTATCAAAATATGGGTTCTTCACACGAAACAAAGGCACTAACCTGGTTCTTTACTTTTACTAATGGGGCTGCTTCTCGCTAAGGGAAAGAAGTCTGATAGCTGCGGATCTTATCTCTGAGCATTTTGTTCCTGGATACCTCTGAGAGTGGTCATGAGCATATTTCAATAAGAGACCAGAGTATTTGAATCAGATCAGAGAAACGAACTGTAGAGGAAGTCTATTGTGACTAAATTAGTGCAGTTAATCCTTGATTTTTTTTCTTATTTTGAATCCTTATTTTGTCGACAAATATACAATTATTGGCAAAATATCATAGGTGTATAGTTAGCATCTTCTTGTTTAAATGCCCAGCGTGTGAAGGAGACCTTTGGTTCTCTGACATTCTTTAAACATCAAAATGACAGCATTGGCTCCCAACTGCCCTTATTTTCTCAAATCATCCACTCAAAAATATTTTTAATGGTATTTTTTATTTTGCTTCCAAATTGGACTGCTATATCTGCTATTTTGAGCTGAAATTCGCTGAAAAGCAGTAGTAAACTCTGAATTTATTAGCAGCTTGTTTTCTTCCACTCAATATGTTACCTTTGTGTATTTTTTTTTTCATGCTTCATAGTTTGTCATAGGAACAAAGCCTACGATTTCGTACCGCGGGTCATTGTCGATTCAAAGCCAGGTCTATACATTTGACAATGGTTTCTTCTCCATTTCCATGAAGATTTGCATTAAGCCTTAATATTATCATTAACTACACACTCCATTGATCGTCATCAACTTTGATTGAGATTGAAAATCATAATTCTTTTTTGTGTAAGGAGTGTGACAACCAGTATGAAATTTGTTCCTTTAGCATTATATGATGAAGTGCTTCTAAGTATTCTGTTTCAGATCACTTTTAACCTTATGAAGAGACCATTACTGTTACAACTTTTTCTAGTTTTGACTGATCTTTGTGAAATTCTTAATTGTCAGGACGGGAAACAAAAGTGTGTCAGTTCCATGCAACAGGTTTGGCGATCTTGATTTCTATAGTGAACGCCAGTTATCTTCTTTCACCTTATTTTGGCTTGCGTTCTCTGTGCAGCTTGATTATGCAGTAACCATTGCAGCACTCCTTGGTGTTCCTTTTCCATTTGGAAGGTGTAGTTAGATCTTCTTAAATATTTTTTTTTCTTTTAACATGATGGTCTTATAAGTTTTCTTGTAGATTTCAGCATTTAGTTATGCGTTTCTGGGTAGTATTACTCTTGTACATCAGTAGGCTTAGTTGTATCAGGCAATGACAATTAATTGTGGAATCTCACATTACAATGGACTATCCTTGTTCCGAGGACGTTCAGGCTCTTATTTCCACTGACCTTTGATTTCTTTGGTACATTTTGACCCTCCCTATTTCTCGCTTCTGTTTTCATTATTTTTACTAACAGTTGATATCCTAACTTTAAGACCTTGAAATCCGACTTGACCGATCCAACTCGGATGACTTGAGTGAGTCTGACCGATTTAAATTCCATTATCCTTTATTTTTAGATAACTTCAAGGTCATTGGGCTGTTGTGAGTTTCATGGAGAACAAGAGAGGAAGATCAGGGAAAAAGGAAGAAAGGGGTTTGCCGTTGCTATTGAATAAAAAAAGAAAGGAGAATAACGCACAATTATTTGACTAATATAAACTAGATGACGCCCATTTGGAGAGGCAATTAAAAAGGAGAAGAAAAAGGAATTAGTAACAATGTTGGCAGAAGCTAGGTGTGACCCAGTTCCTCTTCCATTGTTCTTTATCTTCATCTCATTTCTTTTCTTCCTCCACGGTGGATGACACCCACCTACTGCTCATTATTGGTGTCACCCACCGTGGAGGAAGAAAAGAAATGAGATGAAGATAAAGAACAATGGAGGAGGAACTGGGTCATACCTAGTTTTTTCCATCATTGTTGCTAATTCTTTTTTCTTCTCCTTTTTAATTGCCACTCCACCTGCCTCTTCGCTTTTATCCCTTTTCTGTGAAACTTTAGGTTTTTGATGATTGCAAATTGGACAGAAATATTTAATTTTTAAAAAATCCTTTTAACTTCACAATTGAAACTTTGAAATACACCCTTAAAATTCATAAATATATCCTTATTTTTAGTTTTTCTTTCCGAATGAACTTGACTTATATACAGTGGCTCGCGAAATATGAAATTGCAGTTATACGTTGCAGCTTGATTCAGTTTTTTATTCCAATTTTCCTTTGCTTTAGCATGTACTCAATTACTTGACCGCAAACTTTGATCTTGGGCTGTCTAACATTAAACATTTTAAAAACTGTTAAGAAGAACATAAATCTGTGTGAAGAAAAACAGAAAGTAGAAAGAAATAGGTAGGTCCATAAAATGCAATGATATGAATTGTAATATATATATGAGGAAAACCTGTGTATGTAGGGAAACTCTTAGAGTCATTGGTCTATCCGGTCCAACATCAATTCAATTGTGTGGGGAAATCTTCCTGATCACAAGTTTTCTGTTGTAATAATATATACGAAATTATTCTAACACGTCCTCTCACATGCGAGTTGTCCTTAGGTTTTGTTGCGTATATCGCATAAATAGGGGAGTATGCAGGCAGAGAAAAACTACTGGATTTGATATCGTTGTTACTAAACTCAACATTAATTGATGGTGACGGGTGGGCTAATGTTCATAATCAAAGGTTTCCTTTTCTAGCAAGAAATAAGGGTCTGTTCTAACGCATTCTCTTATATTTATGCTTACTTTTGGACGTTGAGATATGAACAACATAATTAGGGTTGGTGCTACCCAAGAGCAATCATTTGTCTCTTAGATCATGTTAGAATTGTTAGTTCATGCACCCACAAAACTCATTGGTAACAAATCATCTTCATAATCTTATGTTTAGGTTGGAATAACCAATGTGGGGTTATACTAGCAACAACATATTCAAAAATGACGAACGAGACAGAAGAAAGATGCAGTATAAGTTTCCCTGATCAAATATCAAATATCATTTCTGAGTCAACTCGGCTGTTTCTATTCTTTAATGTTTTTCATTCCTGGCTGGGCTTCATCATATGTCAAATAAAATGATTGAATCAGCTTCTATTTCCTTTTTCCTCCTGTAATTCACTTTGAAGAAAAGTATAGAAGCACTCGATAAAATTTTTAAGGCCACTAGGTGTCACAAAGATCAAATCAAGTTCATCTTAAACTCAATCAGTTTCAATCCCACCCAACTCTTTGCAAATATATACTTTTATATGAGGTATCATTGTCTACAATCATTTCTTGATTTTTTTCTTATAGTATTAGGTGCAGTTTCTGCAATTGTTCATAAGAAAAGTTTGTTGATTTTTTGAATTTCCTTATTGAGCGGAAAAATATGTTTGTACAGTTCTTCAGTACACGTCTTAGGACTATTTGCTTACATATGTTTTCATTTCTTCAGCATTGGACGTGTAAATCATGAATTGTATGCTTTGAGTGCTGGTACATGGGACAGAAAAGATACTGATTGCAACTCTTTCTCAGATTTGGAGGCATGGATGAAAAACTTTATTGATACTCTCTGTGTAAATTGCTGGCAGGTATTTTACGCTACTGATGATGTAACTGTTATTGCCTTGCACTTTGAAAAAATAAATAAATAGATAAATATATATTATTTAGTTATAAATTTCCCAAAAAATTACTGCATAAGTTTTTTCCTCTATATGCAAATGAATATGCTAATTTGTGTTATTTCCTCAAATTTCTCATGGTGTGGGCTAACTTCACTAGTACTTTGACCACATGAAATGCGTACCTTACGACCTGAAACCGCACCCATCCTTTCAGCATATCTTACGACCACTATTTAAAGAACTGAGATGCAATAAAAAATAGGATTCTCAAACAGCATAATCTCTTTATGTGTGACCAGGCCGTGCATCCTTAATAACTATCTTAATCCTTACCAGGGGAGAACCATTATGGTAGTATAAAAGGAAGGCAAATGAACAAGTGCTCACCATAGCTCATGATCCTTTTTTATTGCAGATAATGTACATAGTAAAACTGTTACAAACTTTGTGGTCTCTTTTAGAAAGGTATTCTGCGTTTTTCAGCTTCTAACATGCCGCTTTTTGGAATGCATTCAGTCAATAATGGTAGCCAAAATTGAAAGATGTGAGGCGATTCGCATCTAGAAAAATCAATCCCCAAGCTGATTTTGAACGAAGTGAGTCCAAGTGATCCAAGGATTATGCCAATGGTTAAATCACTTGTTATGACTAAACATAACTGGGATTTATGCAATTATTTTTCACTAGTAAACGTATTGGAAGTTTTATTCTCAATACTGATGCAGGTTGGCTTCCTATGAAAGCATATCTTGAACTTTCTACTCTTTGCGTCTTAACTCTGTTCCTCTTCTGTCATAGTCGACAGCCTCTTACTCAGCACTCGCACTATGGCGCCAGGATCTCTGGTTTTTCCTGTTATCCAGTTTTGAACAAGTTTCTTCATTTTCAGGTGAAACGATATATTGATCTTTATTCTTCGACCTCAGTTATTGGATTTTCTTCTGAAGACTTGCAGCATATAGAGGAGACCTATGTTCAAGCGCAGACTTACTGGGCTAATTACATGAAGGCCATATCTAAACATGACGTTAACTCTGACAATAGCCATGTAACACCATCAATTTTCCATGAGCAAATCCATGCATACTCAGTTTTCTTAAAAAAGGTTGCTGAGCTTGCACGTACAAAATGGACTGAATTCGATTTGAAAATGATGGGGGTTGGTTTTGGTGTCCTATTTCTTTCATTGTTATTTCAACTTTTTTCTATATGGAGAGTTGATCAGTTATGCCAAGCATCCTGCCAATCCAGTGCAAACTCTGGGATTTCCTTCAGACTCATAATTGCCACATTTTTGGTGACGATTCGAGCGGCTAGTTTTCTTTCAAATAGTTACATTTGTAAGTTCTCAATTTTTTTCATAAAAATTCATGACACAGATTGTGTATGTTTCCTAATACTCACCACTTCTGCTTGAAATGCTCATTTTTTTTTTTTTACTTGATTATTGTGATACCAGTGACAGAAGGAAAAGTGGCAAACTTTCTTTTGGCAACAACTGTAGTGATTGATTTTCATCATTCATTAGTCGCCGGAGGAACGAAATTGGAAGTGGGTATTGGTTCTCAACTCATGATTATTAGCTTTCTTCCAATCAGTGTTGATACTTAATGTAGATGTTCTGAGTTCTCTAAATATTTTTTGTCCATTTGTATTGTGATGCTCACTATATTTTGGGTGCATTTTATTTTGTAGGAAGCTATATTTGTACTGCTGACTGTTATTCTTAGATTCAATATTGATCTTGGATCGTCAAAAGAAGCAATCGGTTCAACCTCTTCAAACGCGTTTTCATTGAGGCTTTTTAGTGTTAATGATATCAGTTCTGTTTTGAAGGTTATCTCTGAGGTTTTACCATTTGCGTCCTTGGCGATTTTAGCGTTCCTGGTATATTATATGATCACTGGTGTTGTGTCTGTTGGGAGAAGTGTAAAGTTTTTTCTCATTGGAACTTTTGTTAGCTATCTACTCATAGCTCTTCATTGGATCTGTGAGAGCAATGTGAATGCGATTCAAATGACGCTTCAGAACATTGGCATGTATCTTATCCCACGTCTAATATATATTATAAACTTTGGGATGTTATTACTTTTGGTTCCTGTTCAAATGTTCAAATGGAAGAAGAGGGCAGATAGCAATGAAATAATCATCACTGGGTCAATCTCTATGTTATGTGTACTCAGCCCGACCATTTTATTACTATCAGGAAGGCAGGGTCCTATAGCTGCTCTAGTTTTTGTCACTGGAGGTATCTTCTCATCGTAGTATTCAAATTCCTGTATCTTATAAGTTGACGTACGTGTCATTGGATTTTTCTCATCTACTTGGGCTTGGTGCATTATTTATTTCATACGTTTTTTCAATTTTGCAACCTGGAATGAATAATTTTTTTTTAAAAGTTGTTATATTGGTCTTGAGTACTCCCGTTCTTTTCGCAGCCTGTTGTATTATTCGGTCTCAGAAGATGTCACATAAAAACACCTCAGATGGGACCCCTGGGAGAATACTTGGAAATCCCATTCCTGTCACAAAATGGTGCCTTCTAGCTGTTTGCCTATTTTTCTACACTGGTCACTGGTAAGAAGCATGCTCTTTCCATTATATGTAGTTAGTATTTCGAGGATCTGGGCGATCTCTGAAAGGCCACTTTTCATACATATGACTGAATAAATGCAATTTTTTTGATAGTTTCCTGTATAAGGAAACTTAAAGCAAAACGAAGGAAGTGGATTTTCATTTTTTTGTTGATGATGTGTCCAAAAACACCTAGGATCGACCTGGTGCTATGCCACACGTTCAATGATCCTTTTGGAGGATAAGAGATTGTTTCTTTATTAGTCATTATTGGACTATATGTATGTTGGGCTATATATGTTAATGGGTCATCAGCCTAATCCCATACTACTAATCATTTCTTGTAACTGTTTCTTTCTCACGTTGTAACTGGCCTTATATTTAAGGCCTTCCCTGACTCAAATGGATCTATTCAAGGTTCTACTTCTTTAATCCCTCGTTCAACAGTCATAAACGGGCTAAATTCTCTTTCTTCCATATCATTCTTGTTAAATTCAGTACATCCAGATGCCCACTACATACATCTCATATAAATGAAATTTTCAGGTGTGCCTTTGATGGACTCCGCTATGGTGCAGCATTTGTTGGGTAAGTGAAAACGAGGTTCAAGTTTCTCATTATTCCCGCAGAGATCGTACATCAGAATTTGTCAAAGATCTATTGTTGTTTTGTTTCTATTTTTTTTGGGTTTAAATCCATGTCACAGCTATGCTTTCTGGGAGGCAAGTATTCTCAGAGGAGCTATGCTCTTGTGAACATACTAGGCTAACAGAATTGAGAATTCCATGTTACTATTCATTTTGTGATGAAATGTTTTTGTTTTCAGGTTTGATCATTTTGACCTGATTCGCCAAGGAGTCCTTCTTGCAATAGATACATTTGGTTTTTCGCACATCCTCCCTATTTTTGGTCTTCCACTTCTTGTCCTCTTCTATCAGTACCCTGGAAGCAGTCGGGAGAAGCATACATTTTCCTCGAATTTGATTCAGGTAATCTCTGATGTCATCCTCTTGCTTGTGATTTTTCTGGTATACTGCTTGTGTCCTCTGAAAGTACTCATTAAGCAAAAGCATACAGTCAGAAGATGGAAAGCAGAGGACCCAAATTCTGCAATCTTCTGGATTTAGTTTGTAGCGTAGTTCCAGCAGCCAGAAGAAGCAGTTTTTACTGGAGGAAGTAAAAATAACCTGGTAGCATGCACAATGGTAGGCTGTTTCGATGTGTCAGATCATCTATTTCCCTTGGTAGAAAATGGTTCAGGTTGTGTAATCTGATTGATTTCTAAACTGATATATTGGCACTTGTTTTGATAAGATTTCGTGGCTTGTCTCTCTAGCTCCTCAGAATGGGCTGGGCTGGGTTATTCATCCCCATGTCATGGTTCCTTGATCCTTAAATGCCTGAAGTATTTTCCTTCCACAGTCTTCAATTCCCTCCTATTTTCATGCCCGGATGTTTTCTGCTAATTTCAGGTCCAGATCGTTGCTAATTTGAACAATGATCATCTCCATGTTATTCAATTTCACAGCTTTCTGAGGGCTGCATTCTGCATAGTATCATTTAGTTCAAAGGATGGAGGAGATCTTTGCGTGATCACCCCCCTGAATCGTTTTCTTTCTTTTGAGGGGTGAAAACATCATTTACTGATTTATTTTTGTTAATTTTATATTTTCAGGTATTCTTAATATACGGATTAATTAACGCGGTGACTGCTACATTAACAGTAGTATGTGTTGCAATTCAGAGGCGGCATTTGATGGTATTTACCGACCTACACTGGTACTGATTTGTGAGTTTCACTTTTCTTGGTTTTTTGCGTCTCTGCCTGCTATCGGCCATCTCAGCAATAATAATCTGGAGCCTTTGAGATTTGCGCTTGTATGCCGGGTAACATGGAACCTTCGAGAAGCTCAAAAATTGCCGCATATCCTTCTCTGTTTCTGGCTTTTAGGAGTTCACCTGTGCATCATGCTTTGTTTCTACGTTTTAATGTAGAAAATTCAGTCCAATCCAATCCTAAACCCTAAACCCTAGATTCTACTATTGTTCGGAGCCCCATAATTTGATAGAGGCACAGGCGCTGTGATGATTCCTTTTTGCTTTATTTAAATGATCACATGGAACCACCGGCTGCCACACGGAGGTTCATTGTCAGTCGTTCGTAATGATTATGACATATATTTATGTGATAAAGTTGGTCTCAACCCTTTTGATGTGATGCGTTCATCTCTGTGTCTGCTAGGTTTGGGGATTGTTTGCACCCAAGTACGTGTTTGATGTGCTGGGCCTCCTCCTCGCCGATACTCTGATTTTAGCAGCGTCTCTGTATTATATTTGAGGAGGTTCTTCTGCCCATCTCAAGAAATCTATGGCTAACCCACCCAAAGTATCATCCGTGTAATGACGACCGACCCTTGCTTCTCTTGTGAAGGAAGGAAGGAAGGAGAGAAGGAGGGAAGGATGGATGGATCGTAGACGCAAGAACCCTGGCCTCTTTTGGGTCTCGGAAGGAAGGAGGATCTTTGCCCGTGGAGGCGGCCTGCTGACAGAGAATGTGAATTCCCCTTCAAAAAGGAAATGTGATTGATGCCTACGCCTGAATAGAACCAATGAGGAACCTTTCTCCTCTCGTTAGAGCAAGAATTTTGGATCGTTTTCTTGCGGCTGTGGCTTGTTGCGCACCTTGGCAGTACTCAATCGAAAGCACAAATTTGTGGCTAAAAATATCCTTTTGGTCTTGAACCCGGCTCGAAGGAAAAGTTTTTTTTTTTTTTTTTTTTTTTTTAAATCTTGTAGATGGCCCCCCAGATGGAGCTATATGTTCTAGTGTCTCCATTTTTACCATACACATACTTCTGCCCATGTTTATTTATGGTGGCTTTCGTACCTCACACGTCCGGGATGTGTGCCTGAAAGAGGTCTTCTGCAACACAGGAGGGAGGGAGAGAGAGAGAGAGAGTACAACTGTAAACCCCCCCCTCAGCTTCAACACGGCAACACGTGTGTACAAAGAATGAGAGCTCCACCTTTCTCAGCTGTAACAGCGGACAAGATCCACTGGGGGGCTCTCCCTCAGCAAACAGTATTCCAGAGGGCGTACTTGAATGTGATGATAGGAGGGGAGAACCCATCAGACTCGTCATTCCGAGTCTCTGATCACATGGATCTACCAGGCAGCTCTGTCCTTATCTACCGGAGCAGTTCTCTCTCTCTCTCTCCAGCTGACAACATAGGGCTGTAGGCTTCAGAGACCAAGAACATCTTAGGACAAGGTGCCCATGGAGGAGTAAGGTCTGATCCCACCAGAGTCTTCCTTCAAGGCAAGACATGAGAGCCATGTGACGTGGGTGATCCTCATTAGAACGCGAGGATAGGGGTTGACATGGTGGGTCAGCACCACCCGTGCAGATTCTCAGCAGGTGCTTCAACTTGATGAACGCCAGAACATGCTGGAGGTCAACGTGCTATTCTTCTCTTATGATCTTCTCTGATTCACGCGCTGCAAACGAAGGCACGTTGCAGTTGATCGCCATAGTCAACCGGTTGACATTTAGATAACAATATGATCACAGCCTTTGCTTGTTGATCGAATTTGCTAATTGCCTCCGAGTTGGACTATCAAGTTGTTTAATGATGACGGTACAGTCAAATTCCCGCGTACTCACTTCCATTTAGGAGATTTGGAGGGCCTACGGCGTAAATGAAGAACCGCTGATATTCCATAAATTGATCCCGTTGGGCAACTTGGCATTAGAGAGTCTGACTTTAGGGTTTTCATTCATGGGAAGAGAACGCATGAAGAATCTCTCATTTTCTCTTTCTCTCTCTCTCTCTCTCCCCTTCATCGTCAGAACTGTCATCGGTGAATAAGAAGAAGAAGAAGAAGAAGAAGAAGAAGAAGACGGAGTAAATGATGATGATGATGACGACGACGACGACGACGACGATGATGAACCAGTGTGCGCTGTCGGCCCGGGAAGAAGTTAAAGAATAAGGAAAGGATGCCTGAGAAGAAAGAGAGGGAGACATCGAGTACCGAGACGCGCTTTATTCTGCACAAAGTCTTCACAGGATTCACATGCGACGAGAAGATCTCTCTGTCTCTGTCTCTGTCTCTCTCTCTCTCACACACTTTCTCTCTGTTCTTTGTTTACTTTTTCTGTATCGTTTGCCCTCTTTACAAGGAACAAAATCTATGCAACACACATCATCTCTGAGAAACAATCAGAGGAGGCCATGGAGTCCCCTCCTCTCTCCTCCCACGAGTCAGAGGCCGTTTTCGGAGTTATCATCGATAACCCTTCCTGCTCTTTTCATCTTTCTGTCATCCCGGGGGGAGCTAAATCTGACCGAAGGCAGCGGATATCCTCTGGAAGTCCCGGCTGTACACGTCGGCGACTTGGAGCCACGTACCCAGAACGCCGCCTTGGAACGGGCCCTCCGCCCTAACGACGTCGACGCCGGCGGCGAACATGCCGTGGCTTTGCATCGCCGACGGCGCCGGGAAGGTGCTGTTGAGATACTCCGCCCACTTGAGCTCCTCCTCCGGCCACGGCAGCGGGCTGCTGTCGAATAAGCTGCTGCTGCTGCAACTTCCATGGAACTCTACGTCGGCTCCGCCTCGGCCGGTGATGCAGTCCCAGATATGGTCTCCGTTCAGGGAAGTGCATGGCGGAGGAGGAGACGGGAGACTGTTCGGCGGCGGCGGGACGGAGCTCGCGGCCGGCGGACACACGTCGGAGGGTCTGCAGTTTTGGCTGAGCCAGAGCAGCAGAGGGCTGAGGCTCGCCGACAGGCCGGGAGCCGTCGGCGCCGATGGCGGTGACGAAGACGGTCCGTAATTTACCTGGTCGAGGACGGAGTCTTTGGTCAGCGCCGCCGCCATGCTCTTCCCGGCGCCGCCGACGAGAGGCAAGGCGTGATCAGAAGGGGGCGGCGCTGTGGGTCGTTGATCGTCGAGCGAGGTTTTCTCATCTGGCGGTGCCTTCTCGGCGGCAGCAGCCCCTGAGAGAGGCCTATGGGTGGTGGGGTCGATGCCCTTCTGCCTGAGCTTCTTCTTGATGCTCGAGTTCCATAGGTTCTTGATCTCGTTGTCGGTCCTACCGGGTAGGCGCGCGGCAATCTGCGACCACCTGGCGGAGGAGGGAGCCGCCGGCGCCGGAGAAGACGACGGTGAGGATCCACAGGGAGGAAGAAGGCAACCATCTTTCAAGGCGTGAAGATAAAACGGGTACCTGTTCCCCAGAGCTGCATGGAGCTCGATGATGAGGTCCTCTTCCTGCTGAGAGAATGTGCCTCGTTTGAGATCAGGTCGGAGGTAGTTTATCCACCTCAATCTGCAGCTCTTCCCACACCTCTGCAGGCCTGCAAATTTTTTCCTTGGACCCAGATCAGAAAACCGAATTCAAGGGTAGATTGAGGAAGAGGAGGAGGAGAGGAGGGGGGAACCTGCTTGCTTGGGGACGGAGGACCAGCAGCCATGGCCATGCTTGGTGATGTGGGAGAGGAGTTTCTCGTCCTCCTCGGGAGACCAGAGGCCCTTCCTGAGCTTCTCCTTGTAGCAGCAGGAGTGCCTCCCCATTCTCGCAGCCGGAGAAATGGCGAGGGCAGAAGGAGGCCGAGGAGAAAACTCAGTAGCGGGGAAGAGAGAGATGGCATTAAGGGAAAGGAGGAAGGGAGGGAGAGAGAGAGGTCAGCGTCAAGAGGTCGTGACTGGAGTCGAGGTTTTTGCTCTTCTTCTTGTTCTTTTTTCCCTTGGGATTTTCTGTCTTCCCCTCGGAGGGCCCTGGTGAGGACTAATAACCATACGACTTCAATTGGTACGACCACGTTGTGGGACGCCGCTGCTGCGGTAAAAGTCAACCATCCCACTCTCGCTCTCTCTCTCTCTCTCTCCCCAAGTCAAGGACTGTAAGTACAAAGGACGGAGGGGAGGAGCAGCAAAACGAACTGGAAAACCAGGCCGGAGAAGTGACTTCCTCGTTGCTTGCCAGCCAATGCAATCGCCCGGGCGCCGTTCGATTCGACCGATCTCGTCTCATCTGACGCTCCAAAAATGGGCACGTCCTTCACGAGTCTTCAACGGAGGTTTTCAAGGTGACTCGGTCCCCTCCGAAAACGACGATTCTGTGGGCTTCCCTGTCTTCCACCTGGGCCCTGGCGTCTGGTTCCAAATTGAGACCCCACAATGGGGCCCAGCTGCGCCCCATCCGGCGATGGGCCGCGAGGGAAGAGAAAATTACGGACCGGAGGCGGACGGCCCAGAGCTTGAGGCCATGTCGGGGTGGGATGGGGTGGGGTGGGGTGAAGAGAGAGAGAATGCGGTTTACCCTTGGCGGAAAGGGGAGAAAGAGGGGCGGGGGGGAACCATCTCCACAAGTGTCGGCACTTGACGACCTTGGCTGATCTCCCGGTTTTATCTCTAACTTATGTGGAATTATGACCCCATTAAAGGGTCGATAACCATGAGAGAGAGAGAGAGAGAGAGAGAGAGAGAGAGAGAGAGAGTCAGCCCCACCTTTTCTCTCTCTCGCTCTCTCGCTCACTCGAGCGACCTTTCGATGGCTTCAAGTCCTCGCTGTTTCCAGCCCACATGAGGGCCCCAAAGCTGGCGACACCATCTCTTGAAGCGGACAGGAATTATCAACAGGAATGAATATATATACATATATATATCTATATAGATAGATAGATAGATAGATAGATAGATAGAGAGAGGGAGAGAGAGGGAGAGAGAGAGAGAGAGAGAGAGAGAGAGATTTTGGGGGCAGGCTTGGATAGGAAATAGAAAATTTGGCAACTTCAGGAAGAGACGGGGGAAAAGAATACCCATTTTATGAAATATGAATAAATAAACTTAATTAACTCTCGTGATGACCTCAACAACGGAGGCCCTCTCTCCCTCCCTCTCTCTCTCTCTCTCTCTCTCTCTCCCTGGTCTACGATCTTTTATGCTGTGCCCGACTTGATGCTTCGGTAAATTCCAGAGAGACCACCGTCGGAGGATCCAGACCGTCCATCCTCTGTCTCAGGGCGAGCCGGATGTTCCCGAGATTTTGGGGTCGGCTCGTCAGAGCCTACAGTCCATTAATGTGCGACATATTCTCTCTCTAAAAGCTAATAAAGAGGCCATCTCTCTCTCTCTCTCTCTCTCTCTGTCCCTCTCTCCTACAGTCAACGCTGCGACTGGGGGGATTCCCACGTGCGCAGCGCAATCGAGTTGCAGCCAGGATGCCTAGGCGACGGTATTGCTAGAATATTATGATGACGTCATCTTAGATGTGTGTCCCAGGCGGCGGGCTCGAGACTTTCGGTACACGTGCGAGGCTGAGTCGAAGATTCGTTCCGTCTGCCGTTCGGAGCTCGGAAGAGCACGCTGCCGCATGGGTCCGATGAGATGCTGAAGGACACCCGTCCCGCAGAAGGCCAGAGAGAGAGAGGAGAGGAGAGGAGAGAGGAGAGAGAGATTTTCAAGCGGGGCATGGGAAATTCCATCCATGAACGTATCATGATCGTCGACATCGCCATCGTCTCTACCGAGACGGGAGCCCTCCTCCCCTCGGATGCCCTCCCCAGAAATCTTATCCCGTGGGCGGGAGGGAACAAATGGCAGAGAGAGAGAGAGAGAGAGAGAGAGAGAGAGAGAGAGAGAGAGAGAGAGAGAGAAAGATAGGATAAGACCTTGCGGAGGGAGGGGGCCCTGCAGTTGCCTTACGGGCAAGGAGATGGACCACACGGGCCGCCCTAAGACTTGTCTTCGGTTCCCTCCGCCATGCCACGCAGTGGGCACTGAGCTCTCATCTTCCGGGTCTCTATGCGGAGGGGCAATGAATATTTAATGGCGGCGAGAAGATGCCCTAGCCCTTCTCCTGTGCCCACGAGGGGCCATGGTAGGACACCCTACCAACCCCAGTCGTCTTCTACGCCAGACCCAAGGTCTCTTATCTCCACATTACAATCGTCTCATGCCACACTTTACATAAAGTCAAATGTATGTAGATTCCCTGATCCTTATTCTTCCCTATTCTCATTGCCCTCCGGCTTCCGTACCCTCTCTCTCTCTCTCTTGCACAGCCTTCCCTTAAAAGGTTGAGAATTTATAAGCATGGTGGGAGGGGAGAAGGATCATGGAAAATGACCGAAAATGTGTATGTTAAGTGGAGGTGGGCCTGAACTAGTAATGCGAGTGCCAGCTCAACGGGTGTGAGAGGGACACCTTTGTCTACCGTAGACATCATCGAGCAGACAACATGGACTTCAGATTTGGCCCTTCCCTCCAAGGACCAGAGGCTGGGAAGAAAGAGGGAGAGAGGAGAAAAGGAAGAAAGGGCGAGAGACTGGGAAGAAAGAGGATCAGACGAAGAAAGAGGAGGATGAGAAGAAGAAGAAGAAGAAGAAGAAGAAGAAGAAGAAGAAGAAGAAGAGATCTTTCATCGATTTCATTTAGTCTGCACTGTGGAGGTTGGGTGTCCTCTCTCTCTATCTCTCTCTCTCTAACATGTCCATGTGATCAATGGGGCTGTTCGGGGAGAATCTGCAAGCTGACTGTTCCCGAGGGCGAACGATTAATCCGGATGGCCCTTCTCTTCCTCCGAGCCGATGCAAGGGCATGTTCGGGAAAACTCAGAGAGAGAGAGAGAGTGAGAGGAGGGGGTGATCACATAGACCTGTGTCACGGAGAAAATCTCAAATTGTGGGGCAGAGAGAGCCGTAGATATTATGTAGACAGAGAGATGAAGAGGGAGAGAGAGAGAGGGGAGAGAAAGAGGTGTTAGGGACAGACTAGAAGGGCCCGTAGAGGCCGGGGGACCGCTGTGGGGCAGCCCCAACACAGCTGTTTCCGAGGGAGCGTGTAGAGGCGGGCGGTCAGAACCCCAGCCCCAGAAACATCCCATGTACGAGATGACCAGGAGGTCGCCTGGGCCCACCTACTTGTCCCTTACAGCTGGCACTGCCTCTCCTCCCATAAAAGTATCCGCTTTCCGATGTACTGCGCGCCCATCCACGCGACGCGTGGCTCTCCCTCCTCCGCCCCGCCTCCTTTCCCGATCGGACAAGGGAGTTGATCGTACGGTGGGGGTGGGCGATTGACGGCGCAAAGATCCATTCTTTCTTTCTCCTGATTAATCGATATCCCAACACAGTACGTACTTTGACGGGCCAGTATGCTCCATACACAGCCACCCCCGGCCCATCTCTCTCCTTCCCGTGCCCACCCAGAGCCCATTTTGTTGACTTTTGGCTAGACTTGGGCCGGGCCTATTGGTATGAACAACACCCCGGTTTGAGTCAGACCTGATCCACCAATCTTCACGTGTTCTAAAGTCAGAATTACTCCAAAAAAAATGAAGAACACCAATTGGCTACAGTACTAAAGTCAAGGCAAAGTGGGATAACTTGATTTGTTGTCATCTGCTGAAATCGTTTCACTACAAAGCTCCTTTCTTTTTCATCGGTAGAGTTGACTTTCTGTCGGCACCTCGGCAATGACACAGAGCAACTATCCAATATGATCAATGATTTTACGTGGTTCAGAGGTTGGCCTCTCACGTCCACAGGTGACAATGAAAGTTTCATTAAATGTGAACAAAGTACAAAAGAACTCTCTTCAAGAACTTAGAGATGAAATCTCTGATGTTAACCCCATCAAATGAACTTGCACAAGGATGATAGTGGTGAAATGAGGGGTGCTAGAGAAGCCTGAAGAATGATGAAAATAGGAGAACATATCTTTTATTTATAGCCTCCAGGTGTTACCTTGGTAAATATGCACAGAGACCTCACGTGCAGTCATTTAGTATTCTATTTAGTTTCGGTTACTATGACCCGTCCAGCCATAGAGGACATTAGGCCTGTGACATTAGGTCTTCTCTCTCATGAAATGTGAAATGCGGTTCGTCTTCTTCTTCTTCTTCCGCACAGTCACCATATGAGTTGAATACTGGGGGATATAAAATATCCCTTCGTTAAATAAATATTTCAAGACGTATACATCGAATGGACCCATTTACCCAATGATAAAGATGATGAGATTGTGTCGAAATAAAATGTCAAGTACCAGGAAGTGCTGTTCTAAGATTTAAGTGGTTCGAGGAAGTCCTCCCACGTGGACGACCACAATTTTGTTTTGTTCGATAGAAGAACAACTGGAAAGAGAATCTTATGAGACGCTTGGTCTCTTTCCTTGACACAATGAAATACGTCTTCCTCTTCGAGTATAGAAAGGCCAAAAATATGACAAGTTTACCCTCCCTTCTTCTTCTTCTTCTTCTTCTTCTTTCAGGATGTCCAAAAACGTTTTTTCTTACTCTTATCCCTCTATTTACTATGCTCCCATCTCTTACAACTCATCCTCCGCATCCATCCCCTTTGATAGATGAAAAGGATGAGGGGGAAGATAGAGAGACGGAGAGGGCGGTTAAAACGCGCCACTCCAAGTAATGGGCCGTTTCTAACAGCCCCCATAACTCTTCGGACAATGTAACTTCCCCTAATTTATTGGGGTGTTACACTATGTATATATATAGTGTATATGCACCAAGCAAACGATAGCTAAGTAAATGGCGATCGCGATTACAGCATCACGAGATTCATGAAGGAAAACAGCGTTTAGTCTCAGCTCTCTGTGAGAAGACACAGGGGGAGTATCAGGCCTGCAGACCATCCACAAAGGAGGAGGCTAAGGCATCCATGCACAGCCGTGAGGTGGACACCGAGAGCTGCACGCCCCCTCTCGCCGCGAGCAGCGCCGCCTCCCTATTCCCGTCAGGGGATACCATCTCCACCCTCCTCGCCCCTCCCCATCCGAAATCCACATCGTACACCCGGAACCTCGGCGACCCCGCCACAATCACCAGTCTGTTCATCTGTAGCCCCCGAGGAAACGGGTTCGTTATCCAGCGCTCAACGTTGCTCAACGGATCTCTAGTGTCCTCCTAGACGGCTTTCTGAACCGCTGCGCAAGCCGCCTTAAAGCCCTCGTTACCACCAGCCAGAAGCTCAGACGCCTTCGCCACGGCTTCGCAGGGCTTGATGCAGTTGCCAAAGTAGCGGTCTTCGACGGGAGGGTCAAGGTGGAAGCGGCAGTAAGCAGCGAAAATTAAGGAACACATAGGTAAAAGAGATGGAGAGTTCCTGTTTAGGAAGGAACTGGCAGAACGGGAAGAACAGAGGAAGAGGAAGAGAAAGAGAGAGAGAGAGAGAGAGAGAGAGAGAGAGAGAGAGGAAACAAGAGAAAGCAAATCTTCCTTTGACCAAAATAGATGAATACAAGCGATTTATATAAGATCAAAATAGATCCATTGGATGGGGTCCCGTGACGTCACTGTAGTTTTAGCCGTTTCTATATTTAACTCTCGTACGTGTTCACCGATGACTGAGTGAGAGTTTTAATCTTTTCTGATTGTTGGCGATGTTTGATTGGCTGGGGCGACGGTTATGGTGTTGGCACGTGTTGTTGTTGAATACCTTATGCGTTAACAGTCCCCCGCAAGCTAATATTCGGAACGAGATTTAGCCTGTTTCTTAGCCATTAAAACAAACTTTTGAGGAGAGGTTTTGTTAGGATGTCAGTGAGCTGATGAGTGCTGAGAAGAAATCCGATTTGTAGTTTTTTGGTAGCGACCCTTTTACGGACGAAGTCAAAGTCAATCTCAATGTGTTTCATTTTAGTGTGGAGGGCGGGATTAATAGATAGATATATGTAGCTCTTAGACTGTCGTAGTAGAATTGGAGCTCCTTGTGGCTTGATCTGAATTTCATTAAGAAGGAAATTTAACTAGATAAGCTCAGCAACCGTGTTTGCTAGAGCTTTGTACTCAACCTCTATACTTGATCTCGAGATGGTAGAATGTTTCTTCGATGACTAGGAGATTAAGTTTCTTATGAGATAAACAAGATAACTATTAGTAGATCGGCGATCATCCTTAGAAGAGGCCCAATCCACGTCACTATAGGCTGTGAGCTGAAGAGGGGAGTCATGAGAGAGATGAAGGTCCAAAGTAATTGAGCACTTTAGATAGTGAAGAAGAAGTTTGAGGGTTTGCAAATCTTCATGAGAGGGGGTTGTGCATCTTTTGACATGCCTGATTCACAACATAGGACATGTTCGGACATGTTATTGTGAGCTGTAGACCACTGAGGATGCTTCTATAAGGCTTGGGATCGGGAAGTGAAGTGTTGTTGAGAAAGTCGGTTATAGAGGTTGACCATGAAGTTGACAAGACTTGCATTGATCCAGACATACCCGTTGAAGGATTGTAACTAGATATTTGGATTGCAAGAGAAGATAACATGTGGAAACATGAAGTAATTCTATTCCAAGGAAAAAGTGAGCATGCCCGAGATGCTTAATAGCAAATTTGTTATTCAGTGATGAAATAACAAAATTAATAAAACGAAAATTTGGTCAATTAATTAGTAGATCATCAACATAAATTAGAATAAATAATGGTTTTTTTATGGAAAAAATAAGGAGGTATATGTTTTTGATTTGATAAAATCGAGAGAGATAAGATAAGAAGATAACTTGGAAAACCATGCTCTAGGGGATTGTTTTAATCTATAGATAGATTTATGAAGTTTGTAGACATGATTACGGAAATTGGAGTCCTTGTATCCCTCTAGTTGCTCCATGACGATACTCTCGGTGATATCTCTATGGAGGAAGGTGTTGGACACATCCAATTGATGGATGTGCCATTGGTGACTAACAAGTATGGATAGAAGGAGCCTTACGGTTGTATTTTGATGATAGGTGAGAAAGTATCGAAATAATCAAACCCTTCTTATTGAGAAAAACCTTTTGCCATAATCAGGCTTTATACCAGTCTATAGATCCATCGGATTTAAGTTTTAACTGGTAGACCCATTTATACTCAATTATATGTGTGTTAAGGGGCCGTGGGATTAAGGTTTAAGTCTGATTTTTTTGGAGAGCCTCAAACTTCGATTCCATGGCTTGTCTCCATAGGGAATGTTTGGAGGCAGTGGAGAAATTTTTGGGTTCCTTGTGAGAGAGAGTAAGATGGTAGCATTAGGGTAACGGACATTTAGTTGATAAGAGGTTGCTAAATAGGTGGCAGCTAGATGGACTGTTGTGGTATCCCTATAGAGATGACTGATGCGACTAAATTTGGCTGGTGGAGTTGAGGAAGAAGAGGTTGGATCTAAATTGTCACTATTGGGTGGGTGAGGGGTTGACTCAGGTAACAAGTGAGTAGGGGAATCAGAAATGAGAGTAATTTGAGTGGGGGACAAGGAAGTGGTGGTGGCTGTTATTTGGTGCGAAGGGGAGGAAGTTGAAGGAGGGGTAGAATCGGGGGTGAGGAAGGAAGGATAGGAACTGATACATAGTTAAGATAGAAACCTAGAATTCTTCTATCAATAGTGGAGGAATTGGGTTTGACTAGATGTGGTGTGGAGTGAAGGAATATGGACTCATAGAATACTACGTGACAAGATATATAAATTTTTCTGGAAGCAAGAGACTTATACCTATAATTGTGGTGATGTAAACTATATCCTAAAAATAAAAAGGATCCGGATCTATCTTTTAATTTATGTTGTGCATAAGATTTAGTGTAGGGATAATAGAGGCATCTGAAGGTTTTGAGTGTTTGATAGTCAGCTATAACTCTGTAAAGAATTTCAAAAGGACTCTTAAATTTTAGAATGGAGGTAGGCATTTGATTAATAAGATAAGTAGCTGTACATGGCTTCATCCAAGTATTCTTGGCGCATAGAGGCCTGTTTGACAAGAGATAGGGCTGTCTCTATAAGATGTCTATATTTGCATTTAGTAGTCCCATTTTCTTGAGGTGTATGAGGACAAGAAATGCGATGATAAATGCCTTGACCCTGAAAATGCTTGGTCAATACTTGAAACTCACCACCCCAATCTGATTGAAATGAAAGAATTTTACTAGAAAAAAGTCATTCTACCTCTGCTTGAAATTCGATAAAGGCTTGAAACACCACTTTTATTTTTGAGAGGATAAAACCACATGAATTTGCTATAATCATCAATAAAAATTACGTAATAAGAGAAATGAAAAAGAGATGTAATGGGAGAAATATGAGAAGAAGTATGAAAAAATTCGAAATTATTTTTGGGTATGTGAAATAAGGGAAGCCCATGTTAATTAATGTTCTTATTTAATATTTGAAATTAGAGATGTCCTAGATGGTTGCGCCATGTAGCAAGGTCTGTCTTTGCTCCCAAGAAAACCAAAGGTTGACCATGTGATTGAAGAAGATAAAGTCCATCTTCTGTTGTTCCCTTGAGGAGGATTTTGGAGGTTTTTTCTCATCCTTCATGAGACAGTAGGTAGTATGAAATTCAATGAAAACGTTATTATCAGTGGTAAATTGTTTAATGGAAAGTAGATGTTTTCGAATGTGAGGGACATGCAATATATTATTTAATTTTAAGAGAAAAGAATGGGTTTTAATTATAGTGGTGCCCGTAGAAGAAATAGCCATACTTGAGCCATTACCTATCTGCAGCTGATTGGCGCTTTGATAAGGAGTATATGAGTGGAGGATCCTTTGATCAGGTGTGATGTGGTGAGTAGCACCACTATCGGGCGGTGCCGGTTGTGGATTATGATGAGTTGTCAAGTAAGCGCTGAGTGATATGTGGAGATTTGGGACAAGTAGGTTGTAGGCGTGTTGAGGTTGCGGTTGAAAGGCAGGGTTGAACCGTTCCCTACATTGAAACACCCAATGGCCGAATTGAGAACAGAGTTGATAGCGTGGCTGCCAATTCCGGTTCCCCCGTCCTCGTCTTCCACGATTATTGCCGGATCCACGGTTGGATTGAAACCAATTTTGCAGATGACCAGAAGATTTGTCGGTTTGATTAGTTTGGGCAAGATTTGTCGGAGGTGCTACGGTAGATAAGAGTGTCGAATGAGCCATCTGTTGGTGATAAGCTATTATGGCTTCATGGGATCGAAGACTGGATGTGATATCCTCGAAGGTAAGATGATCGAGATTAGCATTAATGCTAATATCAAAAGCGCTATATTTGGGACCGAGGCCTCTTAAAAAAACACAGATCTGAGACGTTTCTTCAACAAGTTTACTGGCTAGAGCAAGTTCCTCGGCAAGCCGTTTGAACCTTTGAATGTATTCTTCGATGGAGGAATCGCCTTTGACAAAGTTGTGGAGGCGCTGTTGAAGGTCCATGATGCGGGAGCGATCGGACGAGGAGTAGGTTTTCTGAATGGCTGTCCAGAGCTCCTTGGCGGTTGTTTTTTGACCTAGTTTAGATAGAATGATTTCTGAGAGAGAGGAGTTAATAAAGCCGAGCACCTACTGATCGTTGTGCCACCAGGCTTGATAGGCAGGATTCGGTTGATCATTGATCGTGGCAGCCGGCAGGTCTTGATTGATGTATTTTTGAAGATCGTAGACATTAAGAAGAGGGACGATCGTGTTCTTCCATACCGAGAAATTTTCTCCAGTCAATTGGACAGGAACCACCAGACTGGTCGGAACAGCCATGATAATCGAAGGCGCGATGGTGGATACGATTTGAGAAGAGAAGAAGATGCCATTAGATCCACACTTGAGTGCCTGTAGGCTCTGATACCTCAGTGTCGAGAGCCGGTGAGCGCTGACGCCTCGGTTCTTCAAGGAGGCGATGCTCGCTGAACTGACGACGATGGTTCTCATCGATAGCTCACGCCGATTGTTGAATTTCACATATAGTCGGATAGCTAAAATCGACCATCACGGAAGTTCCAGTGGTGAAGAGAACACCGGAGCCGGCAGCTGACTCGCGTCCAAGAACAGCACAAGAGACAAGAACGACTCGATGTCGTAGTGCTTGTCGTCCGTGAGCAGCTGGAAATCGATCCCCTCCGCCTCTGCCCATATGTAATCGACCCCGTCCTCTCCGTCGCCGGAGAAACTTATCACGAGGTCGCTGGTGCTGTCGACGTGGGTGAATTTCCCGGCGAGGGTCTAATATCTAGAGATCCTCCGGAAGAGGGACTCCCTGAGCTCTTCGACGAGGGAGGGGATTGGACGTTCGGTGCTGAACAGCAGCAGCCGTTCTTGGGGGAGGAAAGAAATCCAGGAGGCGTCTAAGAAGGAGAGCTTGACGGGTTCCGGAGGGACGCCGTCATGTGGCGAGAGCAAGACGCAGGTGACGTTCAAGACTCGAACTTTCGTCATTCTTGGCGACAACCAGGGAGCTAGCTCATCGAATAAATGGTCTCCCGGTTCCGTCTTGGATTTGTAGGCGATCGCCACCGACCCCGTCTACTGCGCTACTGCGCTCTTTTTCCTATGCTGGGTGGGGACCGGGGATGGCGATGTCCCGCCAAATGTCAGATCCCTTTCACGTGTCAGGCCGTTAGAAAAGATAGTAAGATAAAAAAACTTGCCCTCACCGCCTGCAAGAAGTTGAGAAATGGGTAGATCGAAGTACCAGATGACGTTCAAGACTCTAGGAGATAGATCAAAGGACATAGTTTAGCGTACAGAGTTGAACTCCAGTCAGATCCCGAACCTACCAGAAAAAAGTAAGGAGGGTTGGGCCTAATTTGAGCCTCACTTTGAGAATAGCCCTAGCTAGCTGGGCGAGCTCCACCAGCCTTGTCATCTCACTCCTACGTCTTTCTACCCTTGAAATTCTCATTTTCAGCCTTATCTCATTCCCAGCCCTATTGCTCTTTGGTGCGGCTTTCACCTTCTCGTTTTCTCCAGCTCAATGTTCCTCTATGTCAGGTGGGAGAGGGATGTACCTGGTCATTGGAAATTCCCGGTGATGCTTGTGCATAGAGACTCTTGGAGACTTAACGAACGTCCATTGTGGTGCAACAGCTGATGTAGATGAATCATGCAGCATGATGGGCCATCTAACTCTGCTCAACTCATGTAATGCCCAGATTTTTGGTTCGTTCATTGCTTTTCAATTTGTTTAATAATGATTCAGTAAGCATGATCAGCAATTTTGGAATTCCATTTCCACAGCAGAGTGCTCCTGGAATTAGCCTGTTGGACTTAGTTGTCATACTTTAGTCTGACTTTCTCATCAATGTATTTTGTGCCATTGAGTAGAGTCAGTGTGTACCTAGAAGGACTATTTATAATAGAGGTTCCAAGAATATTAACTATGAAGATATATTCCAAAGGGATTTCTCATTTCATTAAGAAGGTACACTTTAATGCTATATTTGAATCATGTGATAGCTGTAAAAAGAAACATAAGAGGTATTGAATTGATATTCTTAGAATCCCCATGTCATTTCAAATTCCTCTTCACTATCAAGATGAGTCAATTTGTGAGTTTTCTTTATAGGGAAAATGACACCATAAATTTTGGCTCAATAACCCTTGCTTATTTCTCTTCTAAGGGTCTCATGTTTCACTAACCTCCAAGTAATCGGATAAAAAGATAGAAACATCAGTTTTTATTCTCTAGATTCACATCTCTAGGATGCAAACACATTCATAGGAATTGTTTCAAAATTTAGCACTCTAGGGTTCCCCAAGTACAATCAATACCCATGTGTATTGGTTTTCCCTTGTTACTTCAAACCCTTTAGAAGAATGTAAATTGAAAATACGATCCTAGAACATTGGATTTGGAGTTTCATTTTGTGGAGTATGAGTTTATTAAATATAGAAAATAAAATTTTAATGTAGTTGGGGACTTGAAATAAATTTTCCTCAAAAGATTTGACTAGTCCTATACAATGGGTCTTGTTAGAGTAATTTTTTTTAGAACTTCTATTTCGTGTTTCCAAGTATGAAATGATCATAAAATAGTCCCATGTGGCAAACCTCTTCCATTTCAATGGCTAGCCCTATAGCTACTTGAAAATTTCAGATTATTATTTTCTTCTATTTTGTTGTACAGTGGCACCTTTATTTTTCTTGTTGTCCATTTTTACAAGGTAAGCTGACTCTTTTTCTTACAAGATTAGGGTCAAAACATCAATGGGAATGTGATTACAGTAGTAATTTAGTAAATTTTACATTATTTCGCTAATTATAAATTAAAACAGTTTAATAGACTTGAGATTTCAAATAATAATCAAATAAACTTCATACTTCTAAAAGAGCAGTTCCAAAAGAAAAATATTTACCAGAAACTGAAGTAGTTATATATAGAGGAATATCATGAAGAAGTATTAAAATGATCCACGCATAGAATTCAAATATATGCCTAAACCAGAAATGAGCTTCAATTAAAATATGCCCTACTACATTAAGTTTCTCATGTATGTTAACAATAAATAATAAAAATAATATAATAAAAATAACAACCAGATGAACATCACAATCAGAAAGCCCAATTGAAGAAAAAACATATTTACTTCGAATTCAACTATTTTGTAAGAACGAATTATCTTGAGGATATATTCAACAAATATGAACCACATGAAAGCTACACATGAGTATCAAATGAAATGTTAACTAATCCCATATGTTCCTCCTAGTATAATTTCAACATTTATGTAAAAAGCATGCACGTATAATTATATATTCGTTTCAGAAAAGGGTTTTTCAGGACACATGAAAGATCTGCAATGAAAAATCAAAAATCACATGAATGCTGAAGAGTGTTTGTTGTTAGTGTAAGGAACACATAGAAAAACTTTCTAGTCTCACATTGAACTTCTCAAATTATTGTATGTAGTTTTTCAAAGTGGACCTTTGCATGGCTGACCCACCTTTCATTTAAGGTGTCATGATACATTAATTTTTATCCATTGAGAAAAAAATGAGAATATGCTAGTGGATAGTTCCCAATTAGATGCATTAGGCACCAATATAGACTTGTCTATGTAATTCATTAATGATATAAGGAATCACCAATATTCTATATCATAAGTTTTAAGAATGTGTACATTTTTACCTATTGAACTACATTGGGGTTGCTCAATGTTAATGCATCAGTTTTTGGGTTATGATCAAGGTGAAATGTGGAGAAGTATCACATTAATTAATATTAAATGTAATCAAATTGAATGAAACACTGAAATAGAATATATCATGCTTGTTATTAATTTATACTTCTTTTTATTAATCTTGAGAAATTATTATTTGATGATTTAATTTCTACTCACCTATATATCCAAGACAGACACCTTGAGAAATATTTTTATTGGCAGGAAATTACGGATAAACAAGAAAAAAAGAAAGTATGATTCTGTGGATTGATTAGAATTTTCAGAGAAACATTGGGCTTGACATTGGCCCACTTATGTCAGGCTCAACATCAAGCCCAATGCTTTGAGAGGGATTTAAGAGAAGAGGAGAGCGAGAGGGAAAGGAAGGCTGATCGTGAGCTAGGACACGGGAGCGTGGTGAGCGCCGTCCTTCCGTGTGACAGGCGGAGAATGGGGCGAAGGCAGCCGTGAGTGCTCTCTGGGGTGACAGAAAGAGAAAGAGCTAGAGCCATCGGCGGTGTGCGACGACGCAGCGGCATCAGTGGAAGCTTTGGTATCTGCGACGGCGACGGGACCGCGGCGGCGACGACACCAAACTCCCCTCTCGCGTGACAGGCAGAGGGAGAGCTGGATCGACGGCGGCGGCGCAGCAGCAGCAACAGGCAGCAGCTGTAGCCGTGAGCTTCTCCTCTAGCGTGACAGGCAGAGGAGGAAACGAGAGCGACAGAGGCGGCTCGGCCGTGGTAACTGCGGCGGCGGAGCAAGGAGCTGACCACTACAGAGAAGCTCAAGCCACGATGACAGCCGCCTTATCTCCTCTCCCGTAGGCAGTACCTCCTCCTGAGTGACAGACGGAGTGAGGAGCGAAGGAAACAGGGAGATTTGAAAACTGCACTTACCCTATTTTAATTTGTGTATTTAACTTTTGTATTGCTTGCTGTCATTTTGTATTGCCACAATACTTATCCACCAAAAGAGCACCTTGTGTTCGTTTGAATATTCAGTCACCGTTGCCTAATTGTTCACAGGTTAAAATGTGATTTTATTCACTTAAATACTTTAGGTTTTTTTTTAAATAAAAAATTTGATTTAATGTTAGAAGTTTCACCTCATTTTGAGGTTACATGAGTGGGATCTCATTTGCATAAAGGGCGAGGATGAGATGAAGGGTTATAGACCTCTTTTGAAGGGAGGATGTGACAATAGTGGAGAGAGACTTCACTCTGCTCAAAATGTTTAAAGAAGGTGATTGATTTGCATTACGCTGGTAGAACTATTTAGTTCATGAAGTTAAAAGATCTGCTCAATAATAGTAGGAAGTATAGCCCTCCGTTTTGTGCGTCATGAAGTGTTCCTACAAGACAAGAGTTTACTGTAGTAAGTGGTTCTAAGAAATAGATAAAATGATATGAAGTGGTGAGAAAAGAGTTGTTGGGGCACTGAGGAGGACAGAACTATGCTGGAGCATGACAATAAGTCCAAATGTGAACTTGCTTTCCTAGTGTTACACACATTTAGTCCCTCTTATTAAGATCTTGTTAGTACCATTAGTTGCCGTACTTCCTCTAAGTAGGTAAGGGACCTTTCACCCCATGAGGAATGACTTGCTCTCTCTTTCTAACTCTTTTCTTTTCTCTTATTCTCTCTCTCTTCTTTCTCTTTCTCTTTTTTTTTTTTTGAGGGCCTCTTCTCTCACCCTCCACTAATTGTCCATGATTTTGTGTACAAAGGTAATTCCCTTTTGAGTATTAGGCTAGTGATTATGGGAAGGGAAGTAGGTTGCCTCTTTTTTTTTTTTTTGAGAGAGAGAGAGAGAGAGAGAGAGAGAAATAGAGAAATAGAGAAATCGAGAGAGAGAGAGAGAGAAGAGAGAGGGTCAATCCTATAGATATAGATCCTTACCTTCTCATGAGTTCAAGCTGACTGATGGTACTAATGAGATATTGAGAGAGGTACTAAGGTGGCGATTCACAACTAGTTTGGCACGTCTGATGTGTTATAGATTTATAGTTCAAAAGTGGATAGATGCTAACATGTGCTGATAGTTTTGTATGTCCTCACTACCTGAGGGTGATAGATAGTAGATGTGAGGTGATTATGAGGAGAGTAATGATTGAAAGTGGTGTACCTGAGTAGATCGCAATATGCCTTATCATCTGTCTACCTAGCTGTGGTAGGTAGAAGCTTTCGCTCAATGTGTAGTGCTGGTATGCCGAGTTACTCTAAACGGTGTCTACCTTGAGCTTCTATAGGCATATCCTGTCAAAAGGTGAA